AGCCATTTACCTAGAAGAGCTTCTTTCTTGCACACTACATTCCAACCCTAGTCCTTTTGTGCTTCGACTCACCACTTCCCACCTAATCAAGTGATATTTTCTCTCTTCCCTAGGCTCCCAAAGGAAGTCCCTCATCAATTTTTCTAGCCTCTTAGCCTCCCTGTTGGGTATCCTAAAGATTGAAAGGAAGTAGACCGGCAAATTGGCTAGTGTTGCTTTAATTAAAGTTACTCTGCCCCCTAGAGAAATATAGTTTCTCTTCCAAGCTGCCAATCTCTTTTCGAATTCCCTTGCTAAACAAGGGACTATAAGGCAGCAACTTTATTGGGTTTCATTGTAAACTACCTTTGGTTTTTTTGAGATGACATTCTGGTCATTAAGTTGTACTATTCACATATATAATTGATTTAATAAAATTACCCTTTTCCTGATAAAAAGGATTTGAAGGGTTTTGGAATGTTATAGGCGTAAGTGACCCGTTGTTTACAGATTATGGCGCTCCAAATCTCTCAAGACCCTACATCTTAGCATGCTATCCCATGGTACTAATAATGAGTGATTCAGATATGTTATACAAGATCGTCTTCGGTGAACAAGTGCTGTTGTATAGGTGTGTGCAATTGGTCGGGAAACCTGTCCCGCTATCTGAAATTCATTTAGCATGTAATTTGTTGAAGAGCTAGCTTATCTCAGAACTTACATATATGGAAGCGCAACTATTCATTGATAAGAAATTTCAAAGTTGATTCTTTTCCTCTCTCTAGAATGAGGAAGGAAAACAGAGATAATATGGATATACACAGATTATTTTGTCACTAGAATTACAGTGACGATGATCAGGTTCTTCTTTGTTGGTACTATGCCTCTGCAAACTTTACCGTTGCAACATCTTGCAAAAAAAAAAAAAAAGATTTGTTTTGGTATATACTGTAGGTTCATTCCTCTAGGCAAGGCATAAATTCTATTAGATGCATTTTTAGACGACATAAACATGATTCTTTGCTAGACATGATAAATAGGGGTTTTTAAAGATGACATAAATTCTAATAGATGCATTTTCAACTATCTCTGCCTGATTGTTTGCCGTAGTGAGAGTAGAGAGACAGAAAGAAGAAAAATACAGAAATAGTAGGGTGGGTGAAGTGAAGAATGTTTGTTGAGTGTGTGGATAGATCTAATTAGATGCCTGCTTGAAGAACGATAAAGGGTAAATTTGACATTTCAGCCTTTCCCTCAATTTTTAATGATGGTGTCAATTATCAGAAAACCTAGGGGTACTTTAAAGGATTTTGCAAACAACAAGGGTGTATAAGTCCATTTCCTAAAACTTAGGGGTAGTATAAGAGATTTCCCCTTATTATATCATTAAAAAGACATAAGTATCCTGATTTAGAAAAATTTTGCTTAAATTATAATCGTGACATACTTATTAACAATTATACATGTAGATAGATACATACATGCAAACATACATCCATGTTAGCAACATACATACATTTTCTACAAGAAATACATGCATACATGCATAAGCATATAGTATTTACATTAATACATGTTTATATAATACTTAATACATAAATATGACGTTAAGTCGCATCTGGGTTGGGTCAGATTGGCTAAAACCTCAACCCTAACCCAACCCGACCTTTTCAGGTTGGGAGGGTGGGGTTTGGGCTAACCCAACCCAAGTTTCCGCTCCAGTGACAAGGTACTTGGGTGATATTTTTTTTATATACAAAAATCTGGTTAGCTTTGTCTTGTTTTCTAGCATTAGTATTATCTTCTCTAGCTGAAGTGGCAATTCACAAACATTAAAAGTTATCTATCAAACATGATACAGTCAAATGTTAAATGTGGAATTACAGAGGCCCATAACATGAAGTTCATTCCAGGCTTCCAGCAAGCCCAAGAAGTTGGTTGCCAATTCATGCAGACCTAATATGAAAGGCAAGATATTCAAGTTGAATCCAATCTTCTCAAGATTCTCATAGTCAATCAGATCTTTTGGGTTTTCCACATTTGTTGAATGCTTGAAGGATTTAGAAGATTCAAATTTTCTTTTATTAGTCTCATTTTTTAGGAAAATTGGATATATTCTAGATCTCATAAGAGATATTTTGAACTCTCTCTATAAAATTATAAATCCATATAAACACTCTTTTGAGAAGATGGATGAATGAATTAATGAATTTGAAGTGCTCTTGTAATTTTATGGTTTTGTGCTGACTTCATTAGGACCTATGCTTAATTTACTGCAGGTAGTTTAATCCTTTCTTGACCAATAGTTATTGAATCTGTCTCGTTATTCTTGATTTACTTTTCTTTTTGTTCTTATGTTCTTTTTGCATTCATGGATTATCTTCTCAATTTTGTCATTTTTCTTCTTACTTTCACATCATTTTCCTTTACATTTTTAAATTAGCAAATTTCTGCAACCAACCCTGAGTAGCATAGTAGCCATCCTCACCAACCATTCCTATTTACTTAACTAGCCCGGAAGCTTAACTTGAACTAATCTGACCCATTTATCACTTCTATTATCAGTTGTTCTATTGATTATAATCTTTAAGTTCTGTCCAACCTAACCTAAAAGAGGTTAGGCAGCTCATTCAAATAATCATGTTATTTCAGTTCAATTAGATTGGTTCAACATGGCTAAATAGCAAAGTAGATGATCTTGCAAGGTTGGAAGTGGAGAGGACCTGTGTGTACAGTGGCGATACAATACTGAGAATTTTGATGTGCATTGGGCCGACACTCTTTTTCTTGTTGTTACATTTTTTACCTAAAAAAATAAAACATGGGTCTATTATAATTCCTATTTACTAGATCTGTACAAAATAACCAATGTGATGATGCTGGATGTGCATTGGGTTGGCACTTTTTAGCTGTGTTAAGATCTGTACAAAACATCCATGGTTAAAACAACCAATGTGATAATGCTGGATGTAGTTTCTTGATAATTGATACAACTGGAATTATTTAATAGCAGCAGTTTGATATCGTGGGACTCATAGGAGCATCTTTTGTTTTTTGGGGAAGATCATGATTTAGGAATGCAATCAAGGTTTGGTTTTCCCAACTTCTGTTATTATTATAGTTCCTATTTACTAGATGCTAGGGGTGCTTCTATAGATTCATTGTTATCTAAGAGTAGGATAATGTACAGAGTTCTACACCTGTTGTTGGAGTGAGATACCAGTTGATGCCATGGTTTAGGATTGAACCTTGAGTTGAAAGTCATAAGATTCTGTTGATTTTGATTTACACTGGTCAAACAATACTCCATGAGTTCTTGTAAAATTGTCTCATGTTTTTTGAGGATGTAACTTCTGAGTGTTAATGCCATCAACATGGGTTTTGAAAATGACCTTATTAGATGCTCAAAATATGGTAATCAGCAGGCCAATTTTTTCCCTTCAAAATCCTCCCTTCCTCCAACCCATAGGAAAGAAAAAGAAGAGTAGTCCTTGAGTGCAGTCAATGTGATAATGGACTTCTCAATACTGTCCTAATTACTATAATGGTTATTGCATCTGAAGGAGTCCATATGCTTCTAAATAGCTATTAGCTTGCAGCAGTTTTCTTGGGGTTAACACTACATGATTTTAGGATTTTGGTAGGTCTTTCTTGATTGTCAGGACTTAGGTCGCAAAAACTTTAAATTAGTATTAGTGACTTGAGTCACTTGACTCTTATTAGGATCTAATAAACTGGATGACAACCTTTTCAGCTTTCTCTTTCTCACTTATCTTCTTCACCTTAGTGCCACTAATTAAAACAAGTCATATTCTTACTGTTATTTCTTCCATCATAGTTCACCAAGCCAACTTTGATGCATAAAGGCTTGGATGAGGTTAGGCATATCTCAGTTCCCTAACTCCCCATGGTGACAGGGGAGCATCTCCTAGTTCTTAGAGCATTATCTGTAAGACCACCATGGGTTTCTAGTGCAGGATTGAAGTGTGGCTGATACGCTCAGCTTAAGGAAGAAAACATCAGCAAAATAGAGGAGAATTTAGGAGGGCATGTGTGGCTTTGAGATTTAGCCAGATGCACCCAAATCTATTCAAGAAGAAGCTAATTTCTCCATTTCTGGCTTCTGAGGAATAACAGGTATTTCTTGGAACTTGTAATACAACTCCTGCCAAGAGGCTTACAAGATGTTTATGTAGTTTCCGAAGAGAAAACATTGCAAAATTTCACCTACGTCTTCACTCTAATTGGGCTGCAACTTGGATGGGTCTAATCCAAACCTGGTTCAGCTCAATCTGATCTTTTGGATGGATTGGGCCTGAATTTTTGGGCTCTAGATTGGAAACTCAGGCTTGAACTCAGCATTACCTTCTACTATATTTGACCCTGGTGTATACATGTACATTATATATTTACAACTATAATAATGTGCATTTGCACTAGCATATACAGTTCTGTAATATATTTACACTATGTAACCGATTTTGAGCTTGTGCCCACAAATGTCCACCCGGAGCTAAGCAGGGCCCGAGTTCTGGCAGGGATTATGTCAGGCTGGGGCCAAAATGCAGCTCGGGTTGGGCTAGGCCTAGGTTAGAGTTCTTAGGCCTGATTTGGCCCTAAACCTGGTGATGTGTGTCCAAATTGGAACCCCCTATTCCAGTATGATCTAAACCAACCACCAATCAACTCCATTAGAATTAGACTAGAGTACCCTTAAGTGAGCACTTTAAAATTACATAACCAACTTAAGCAAATTTTAGAGGTTAAATTGACTCTATTCTACATGGATGGGATGCCCAAACAAAAGGAAAGAAAGGCTAAATCAGGAGAAAAAAATATTTGGATCCTTCATTTTTTTTTTTTGGAGCTGCTTCATGCGATCTATATTGCTAAAAATATACAAGGCTTGTTGGTGCTGGCCTGCGTTAATTTTTTATTCTTCCTCCTTTACCCTTGTTTGTTCATATCATCATGCAATATAAAAGCTGTCCCTTCTCAGCTATTCCAGCCTTTTGCTACAGGTACATGAAGCGCTTAGTGAGTGAGCTAAGTCCAGCAGCAGGCTTAAATTTCATTGATGGATACCAAGCGACTGCTGTCTGCAAGGCGGTGGCTGATGGGGGCACGTTCCTTACATATGGAAAGAAGCTACCAAAGTATGTTGAATACGAAGGAGCGGTTCGTAAACCAGTTGAGTGGAGTGTATTCCTGAAGGAAAAGAAGCTCAAGGTGTTAAACCTGTAGGATATATAAACAAGTCCAGACCTCTTGTAATTCCTAATAGGTTGTGGATTTGCCCGCCTAAAAAATGTCTCTCACTCTCTCTCTCTTCTTGGTGAAAATTAAGGGGGAGTTCTTTTTTATCTTGTTATTTTGCCTTGAACTGCTACTCTTGTTTTGCGGAGTTTAAAGAGTTTCATAAAAGATGCGGGCATTTGCTTTGTTGAATTTATTTCTTGTATACACTTGTATGAAATTTAGGCGAATTCTATGGGTGACCCATCATATTCTGATTATTATCTAATTGAGTAAATTTTTGTTTGTATTTTCTTTTCGATAGCGACTGAGGTATTTTGTGAGGAGTCGTAGTTACCATGATCTGGTCCACAATACCATTTTACGAATGCGATTTGCTCGAATAACACTGACGGATTTAACCGTTGTATAGAGATAGAAACGTGGTCATATAATTGTGAGGTCGGGGTTCAGTGGTTCACCAAGGTGGCCAAGCTGACAAAGAACCACTGATACGTAACCTGACCGTCTCTTAACTTGTAAAGAAAAGAAGTAAAGATTTAGTCTCAGTTTGAAAGGAGTTCAAATACAAATATGTAGGGTGCAAAATATTATATTTTGTATCATTTTGTATGTATTTGCCTGTACATATTTGTATTTGTACTCTTTCCAAACTGAGTCTTAGGGAAAATTTCCAATTAGTACCCTGGACTTTGGGTATAGTGTTATTTTAGCTTCCGAACTTTAGAATGTGACAATTCAGTATCCGAATTTTCAAAATGTATCAATCCAGTACCTATTGTTAAATAGTTTAAATGGCATTTGAAAAAGACAAAACAAGTTTGCCAAGCATTTTGAGTTTGAACCGTTAGTAAGGCTGCATTTAGTAGGGGGAATCAGTATTTTGGTTCAATTTTGCAATAGTTTGATAAAAATGTCATTGTACTGAAAATGACAGTAAACTTGTTTTTTTTTTCTTGTCAATTTTGTATTCAAAATAGGAGCAAAGTTTGCTTTCAAAATAGTCTCGAAATTCATATTTGCATCCCTCACAATCATAGTGCAAAATGCAAAATGGAACTAAATTTGCATATTTACTTTTTGACCAAATTTGCATATGCTTTTTGCACTTTCACCGAAAGCAGCCAAGTAATAAAGTAAGGCCACTGCAGCGAAATGGCAGTATACCTGACCTTTACTATTCTTCATCCTAAAGACATTTGAGCTTTAGGGTTTTCAAGAAATAGTTTTATTTTTATTTTTATTTTTGCTACAATATATTACTCAGTTAGGCTCAGTATAAATACATACAAAATAATACAAAATGCAAGGCTTTTGCACTATACATATTTATATTTGTATTCTTTCCAGACAGAGCCTTAGGGCTTCTCCTCAAACAACAAAATTTGGGTACTCATCCAAATTCATGTGGGTATCTAATTGGTTAGATTTTCTTTTTCATGTTCCATCCCTTTGCTGCACCACACAAATTGAGGAAGAGAAAGAAATATGGGCCTGAACCGATAAGTAAGCCCAAGCTTAGCCTTTAACCATGTTCCATCTCTTCGAGATCAGATCAAGGTTAAGTTGAAGAAAATAGGAAAGGATACTTTTTTCATATTGGATTAGTTTTAAGGATTGAATGGTTCCAAGAGGAATTAAAGGGGATGGAATAGCAATGAGATTGAGGACAAACAAGGAGGAATATCCTCCCTCTCTTAACATGGTTTCGGCTGGACCCGTTCCGTCCCAGTTCCCACCCCTAATCGTCCTTTTCTATGTGATGATCTTTGATGCAAAATATCAATTTCCAAGAAGCTTCCTTAGTTCCCTCAAATCCTTAATGGGCTTCAAAGGGGCCCATTTATTTTGTTGTTTTATATCTCTTGGTCATTTGGGCATTATTAGAACTTGTTTGGGAGGACTTCAACGTTGATTGAGCTGACTTCAGTGAACCACTTCGAAGAAGCTATTAAAAATAAAATTAGCTTCACCCGGAAGTCATTTTTCCTGTTCGAAGAAGCTATCTTGCAACGCGAGAAGCCGTTGCCTGAATTTCATTACTGAAACGACATTGTAATAATGACACAAGGAGATGGAGAAAGAAGTAATTTGGGCCACTCCTAGAAAGTATATTTAAGAAGAGAGATGGCGATCCTTGTTCACGCCAAGTAAACATGGAGAAGCTTTCTCTGTCACTCATCTTCGCTTCTTTCTTATGCTTTCTCGTATCTTGCGATGGGTCTGAGTCACCCCAATTCACAGTTGTTTATTCTGAGTTCGATTTTGAGGTCAGACTGTATAACGAATCTTCGTGGATGTCGGCTCCTGTTCGAGGAATCTCGTTCGAAAAGGCGACCAGAGAAGGCTTTCACAGGTTATTTTGAATTATATGTTTGAATATTGTCGTCGCGGTTGTGTTTAGGAAAAGAATTATGGTTGCTTTCTCAGAGCAGGGAATTATGGAAACTCTGTTACTATTCCGTGATCATCTAGCTGTGTCTTATTCTTTTGCGGAATCCATGGTTGTTTTTCTTTTAATACTTATTATGCCATCGACACTAAAGATTCAAATTGCTCATTTATTTACTGAATTTAATGAGGTTTTATGGGGCTCAGTTACTTATTTTATGCTCTGTTCTTGCACTGGAGATGGTAAGAGATCATTTCCAGTTTCATGAGGTGTTGTCACCTGAACTGTACTTCACCTATGCATTTTTGCATGGATAACTTTTATTTGACTGTATGGTTTGAAGCTGCTTTATTGAAAAAACTTCTTTACAATCTTTTCTGAAGTTGGTTTCTGTTCTTCATTTGGATAAAAGCATTTCTGAGTTTCGGTCAGCTTTTTAAATTTTCCTTAAAAGCTCAGTTTGGAAAGAGTATAAATGCAAATATGTACAATGCAAATACATACAAAATAATACAAAATGTAAGGTTCTGCAGTTGCACTCTACAAATATGTTTTGTGTGTATTTTGCACTGTACATATTTGTATTTGTATTCTTTCCAACCTGAGCCTAAGCGGTTTCAATGAAAATGTCTGTTCTTAAGTATTATAGAGAAAGTTATTACATATATCTGTTGATGTCACCGCTTCATGGTTGATTCCCTAATTTTAATTGCCTCATTTTCATATATGCATTTCTTTTCTGATGAAAAGTTAAGAAGTGCTCATGCTCTTGAAGCCATTTGCTGCAGCTCTTCTTTTTCATTTTGAGGAAAGCTTAAAAGTAAAGGTGCTTTTCTCTTCTCATCACAAACTTTAAAGGCTTTGGAGTTAAATGTTTTCAAAAGCACAAGCACTGGTTTTGTTGAGTTGAGATCTCAAATCTGAATATGCAGGTAAATATAGTTGGCCAAAGTGGTACTAACATGCAGAAATTTTCATATATTGATGTGCAAAAGCCCTACTATAACAATAATTATTGTTGGCCAAAGTGGTACTAACTTTGATTCTTAACTTACACGACTGCTTCTGCCTTAACAAACATCAAACCGGAAACAAATGGGTCTAAATAATTTGAGACATTTTATGCGTCTAAAAGATAGCAGGGTGTCTACTGGCTGCCCCACCCAGAGCTGACCTTGCATCTTGGAAAGTGGGTAGTTCATTGTGTAGAAGTTAGGAAGTTGCCAAGGTTTGCTAGGGACAATTCTATTATTACAGAAGTAGAAGCTCCTGCAGCCAGCTTAAGTAGATCCCTGACAGGAAACTGAACAGCTTGAGACCTAAGCATCTGCTTACAATTGCCCAGAAGAGAGTTTGGATTTCCTCCTCACAGAATGGTCCCAACACCTACCCCACAACATGTTGCAGCCGCACATCGGGAACATTTCCCGTACTTGTATGTTTTCATCCAATGAGAGATGTTCCCAATGCAGGGCTGCAAGTGTTGTTATGTTGGTATCAGGACCATTCTGTGAGGAGAAAAACCAGATTCCCCAGAAGAATGCTTCATTTTGGGTTGATTGGTGCTTAAATGATGTTTGGATGGACCCCTTCCTGTCAGGGAATATATTGACACTTCTTTTGAGGGAGAGGGCTTTTAGGGCACACATTAATTCACCCTGCAATGTGCCAATGCATCCAGCACCGATACTGCTACAAGGAGCCTGTGAACTTATGTGTCTTGTGGGGACAGCCCTTTTACAGTCCAGGCTGTTGATTATAGACAGCCAAAATTTTCCCCACTTTGATTTGGAACTTACCATACTGTTATTAGTTAATATGGGTTCGCTTGAAGATTGTTTTAAATATAATAGGGTAAATTGCTGAACCCTCCCCTAAAGTTTGGTAATTGCAATAACCTCCCATGAACTTTATGACACAGTTGCAAGTAGACCCCCTCTGTTAGAATCCTCTAACAAAGACATGAAAATATTCAAAATACCCCATACAGTTACTATTGTGGTCTGTTTCTACAGAAAAAAAAACAATACAAACTGTATAAACAAAAAAAAAAAAAACGCGAATTTAAAGTTTCAGGGGAGGTTTCAACAATTTACCCTATATAATTTATACCAAATTCAATCAGGTAGAATGTGGTTCTGGGGTGAAATCATCAACTTTTTTGTCACAATAGCATTTACAGAATTTCTCAACCTAAGATTTGAGTAGTCAGTGCTTGATTTTGTGCATTTGTGTTTTCAATTGGATGTCTAATGTTTTTTCAATTTGATATTGTATTGTCTGATCAATGATAAAAAATCTTTCATAAAAAATAATGTGGCTGAAGTCACCATGTTAAAGCATAGAAAGCCAATCCCATTAATTCATCTTGTCACTGAGGCCATGGTATGTGTGATGCGCTTTTGGTCTTCTTTTAAGATCATCTGAAAACTGATCGTGCTTTTACAAATTAGGATCATGTGTATTGAGTTTAGTCTGGGTGTTATATATTTATGAATGGGATATGCCTTCACAAATACATATCCAGAGGTCAACCTCATTCATTCTGCCACATCTTTCAATTCCCATTAATTTTTATGTTGCAGAATATTCCAGTATATCGAAGGAGGCAATTTGAACTCTTCTAAGATTAGAATGACAACTCCTGTGTTGACAAGCATTGTCCCAGAGGCTGGGCCCCTGCATTCATCAGCCTATGTTGTGCGGTTCTACTTGCCAGCAGAGATCCAAACTACCCCACCTGTTCCCCTCCCTGAACTGAACCTGCAGCTTGATGCAAGGGGACATATGTGTGTTGCAGTCAGGAAGTTCTCAGGGTTTGCTAGGGATGGTAATATCGTAAAGGAGGCAGAGAAACTTGCTGTCAGTTTGAGTAGGTCTCCATGGGCGAATTCAACTATGACTCAAAGCAAGGATTCTTACTCTATTGCACAGTATGATTCTCCCTTTCGGCTTATAGGACGCCTAAATGAAGTGTGGGTGGATGTTGCTGGATCTGCACGTAATGGGTGTGGATTCAGTAGGGTTAGGGTATCTACATACTAAATGCATGGTTGCAACTTGCAACTAATCTGAAAGTCTATCAAAGGGCTAAATTAAATATATATAGAATGTTGGATATTTCAGTCTCCTTGTATCAGTGTATGTTTTATATGTACATATAAAAAATTTAAGTAGACTATGCTTTTTTAAGTGTATGAGACAATATTTGCAGCAGATCTCATTCAATTTTTCCCTATGTAACAGGTAAAATCATGAAAAGACAAGAAACTAGGGTGACAAACAGATTGGATTAAATTAGATATTATCTAGCTTCAACTTTGAAATGTTATTGTTTGGTAATTTATTGGTTGGGTTCATATTTAACCAGTGTTGGAGGACTCAGATCGGACTGAACGGTTGAATGTGATCAAAGTCCAGATGGATTAGATCGAATTGGATTTAAGGTAGAATCCAAAATTTGGATTTGAATCACATCTCATCCATCATATTTATATCACATTTCAATTGAATATTGATTGTAATTGGATATTGAATAGCATTAATAAATTAAACTAAAATTATCAAAATCTTATATATTGTTAGTAAAATAAACTAAAAATTACTCTGTTACGAGCAAAATGCATTGAAAACGAACCAATGACTCTTTAATAAAAGCCTAAAAGGGTAAAACATAAAACCTTCTGATAATCATAAAAACCTCTCCTGAGGTTTCACTTTCATAAAAGCCTTCCCTGTTTGTTCCGGTAAAGAAGACTTTAAAGTTACAAAATTATTCTTACAACTTATTAGAGAATCTTTCAATTTAATTCAGAATATTAGATTTGCCCTTCTAAAGTTTACCATGTATACCTAATGTTTTTATAGAATAAAATTACTTTATTCTTTTCAATCTAATTCAATGATCTTTTTAGTGAATTTTTTTTTGGTGTATTTTAGTAAATTATAATCTAAATTAATAGATATAAGAGTAAAATGGGCACTTTCAAAAAAATAATGCATTAGAACAATGCTTCTTTGTCAATGACAAAAAAAGGGAGGCAACTATAGGTTTTTTCAATATTGCAGGGGAGTTTTTTATAAAAGTAAAACCACAAGGGAGGCTTTTATATTTTACCCTTAGTAAAAATACAACATTCAAATCAATTTTACTGATAAATAGAATATGCATTGTAAGTATATATAAACATATACATTCAACTTGAATCAAATTGGATTATATCCGATCCAATCAAATTTGGATAACCAAGGTTTTTAAAACTGGATCGGACAAGGAACCATTATGGGGTCTGATTTCTGGGTTCAACAGTCCAACCGTTTGGTCCGAACGAACAGCCCGTCTGACAAAAAAAAAATAGAAAACCCAAAAAATGACCAAAAAACCGTTCTCAGGTCAAACAATTTCATTGTCCAAGTCAATGAATCGGTAACCAAATCAACGGTTTTTGGCCAAAAAGTGGTTTTGGGGTAAAACAGAACCAGTCAAATGATCGATTCCCATTTTTTTCGGTCTAACCGTCCGGTTTTGAAAACATTGTGGACAACCCTTTAACTATATCAAATTTGGATGTCATTTCTAGCCCTATCTAGGTCCCAATTATATAGCAGTTTGAATGGGTTAATTTCCTAGTTAACTGGTAAAAGTACTACCCATTGAGCATTCTAATTTCTGGTTTTAATCTAGACTAGTCTTGCCAACATTGTAGAGGTGGATGAGATTTGGATATTAAATAATAAATATGACTAATAAATCAAACTAAAAGTGAAGAATATTGTGTACTTTTGATGAAATTAACTAGCAAATAACCTTGGTCTTTTTACTTTCTTTTATTTTTTCCAATTTTGGATTTTAAATGATCCTCATTTACTGGCTGCTTACAACAAAATACTTTTCCAACATGCTCTAATATGATTTGTCTCCGTACATCTCACCATGATGGATTCCATTCTTATGGTAAGATGTACAGATATAGATCATGCTGAAATGGGTTGGAAAAGTATTTTATTGTGAGCAGATTCGGTCCCCATTTACCACAAATCCACAACAAACGATGCTAATGGACGAGAAACAAGGTAAATTACAAAGTTCCCCTTATACCATGGGTCAGTGACAAATATACCACTCCATTAGAGTTTCAGCATTTAACTTCAAAAAAGATTATCATTTAGCTATTTAAGCTATTTTAAATCCCAAAACTATCATTTTCTTATTTATTTGAATGATTTATAACTTGATTAGTTTTTTAAATATAACTTGAAGCCCTCTTGGTTGCTCTAATAGATCCTTGCAGATTTTTGATTGGATTCAATATTCAAATGAAATGGTAGAGGTTTCTTCATGATAAATTGATACATATAGATTTATGGTTTGATTTCTTTTTTTGGATTTATTGGAGAAAGGAGTTGATAATTTTATATTTTAAGATGAAAGAAGCATTCATGTGAGTGAAATGAATCAAAAATTTAGATTTTTTTGCTATACTAGTGAAATGATTCTTGTTATTTTAATAATTTCATTTTTTATCTAAGGGGTTACACAAGGGGGATAGCCCATCCCCCAAATCCATACCCCCCCAAACCCAGGTGATGAAGGAAGATTTGGCCCGACCTCGTAACCACTCAACATGTGGCAAAGGCAACAGTTCGGCACAACAGCACACCCAAGGCGCGAGCTCAGAAAGGAGGAACTAGTGGTCCGAACTCCCCACAAGGAGCCCGAACTCCCCGCAAGGAGCCCAAGCTCTCCCTTAGACCCCGAGCCTTACGAACACAAAGGGCAACAACCCGAACTGGCCCGCCCCATGGCAGTTTGAGCCACACCTCTATCCGAACTCAAAACTTCACCTCGCACACCACTCCAGCACTTCGCCTCCAGGACGCCGAACTGAACAACCATACCGTACCTGACACCGAAGGAGTCCGTATCCTGAGGCGGCGCACCTGACTGACTTGGGATCTGACGCTTGACAGTCACACTTCAACGGCCACCTGCCACCGCCATCTCCAGTTACGGAGACGGCTCCGACAAAGAGAGCAGTGGCGGTTATGCCCCAACAGAGGTGATGACACCCGAACTGGCAGAAGCGTAGAGGTAATCATACCTGACCTGGCAGAAGCTTAGGAGTGAGTGCGCGAAGGGGTTATAAAAGGCCCCCTTCCCCCCAAGAAGAGAGGTGTGTGATAACTTTGTGCCATCTGGTTTTTATATTGCCTTTGAGAAAATACTAACTTGAGCTTCGAAGCATTCTCACCGGGTTCTTCCTCGGAGATTACTCGCTTTCTCCTTCGTTTCAGGCACCTTTTGCTCCAGTTCGAGGCAAGATCTTTGACAGCTTGGACCCGCTCACAGAGAACCGATTCAGCGTCCTAGCAGCGGACTACCAACAGTCTGGGCCCATCGAGCTCGGCAACACAGAGGCCAACAGCGCCAGTACCAGGCCCACCCAGCAACGAAGACGCCGGCGAAGTTGCCGAACTGCCACCCATGTCCTGCCCGAGCTCAGAGGTAAAGAAGAGACAAGCTCGGACGAGGTAAAAGCTGCCCCTATTCTCTCAGTTCCTTCCCCCCTCTCATCAGAACTCCTCGCAGTCCCCATGCCCAGAGACTTCAAACTCCCCCCTTTAGACAAGTATGATGGGTCCTTCGACCCCAACGACTACGTCGATGCCTTCCAATCCCAAATGCACCTAGCAAGGGCCAGTGAATCGTGCATGTGCGTGGCCTTCACCACCACCTTCAAGGGGGTGGCCCGCACCTGGTACAGGAACTTGGCCCCCGGGTCAATAAGAAGCTGGACCTAGTTCATGCAGGTCTTCACCGCACACTTCGTTACTTGCAAACGGTGACTCAGAACCGAGGAAAGCATCTTCGGAGTAGTCCAGAGGGAAGGAGAGTCCATCTGGGGCTACATTAAGCGGTTCAATGACGCGTGCTTGTAGATACCGCGACTGGACCCCGCGGTGCAGCTCGCGGCGGCCAAGAGAGGAGTAACACACAAGGAGTTCAAATGGCACATGGTAGCTAGCCAGCCCGCGACCGTGGCCGAATTCCTCAAGCTCGCGGATAAGTTCATGAGAACTNTCTCCCCTCTCATCAGAACTCCTTGCAGTCCCCATGCCTAGAGACTTCAAACTCCCCCCTTTAGACAAGTATGATGGGTCCTTCGACCCCAACGACCACGTCGATGCCTTCCAGTCCCAAATGCACCTAGCAAGGGCCAGTGAATCGTGCATGTGCGTGGCCTTCACCACCACCTTCAGGGAGGTGGCCCGCACCTGGTACATGAACCTGGCCCCCGGGTTAATAAGAAGCTGGACCTAGGTCGTGCAGGTCTTCACCGCACACTTCGCTACCAGCAAGCGGTGCCCCAGAACTGAGGAAAGCATCTTTGGAGTAGTCCAGAGGGAAGGAGACTCCATCCGGGGCTACATCAAGCGGTTCAATGACGCGTGCTTGCATATACTGCGACTGGACCCCGCGGTGCAGCTCGCGGCGGCCAAGAGAGGAGTAACACACAAGGAGTTCAAATGGCACATGGTAGCTAGCCAGTCCGCAACCGTGGCCGAATTCCTCAAGCTCGCGGATAAGTTCATGAGAATAGAGGAAGAGATCAACCAAAGGACCGAAGGCAGGATCGAGAAAAGGAAGAGGGAAGGCGAGCCCTCCAACCCAGATGATAGAAGAAAAAACCCGGTCCGGAAGGCGAAGCCGAGCCAGCCGTTCCGAGCTCCCTTAGCAGCTCGGACGGACTACACACCCTTAAACACGAGGCGGGCCGAGATCTTGATGACGATCAAAGACGCCCCATACCTAAAATGGCCACCTCGCCTAAAAGGGAACCCAAACGAGAGAAACAAAAGCCTGTACTGCAGTTTCCATAGAGATCACAGTCATAGTACCGAACAGTGTAAAAATCTCCAGGACGAGAAAGAGGGACTCATCCGTCGTGGGTACTTGAGAAATTTTGTACAGCACAATAATAATAATAATAATAATAATAATAATAATAATAATAATAATAAGACAGGTCGGCAAGGGGAGCACGGTAGGGACGCCCCCGAATCCAGCAGCAGGCCGGCCGAACCGTCGCAAAAACAGCCTCCGGAAGAGAGGCCAGTTCGGGGAACCATCCACGTGATAGTGGGAGGTTCGGTGGTAGCAGGTTGTACTTCGGCGGCAGCCCGGGAGTCAGTTTGCGAAGCTGCCTGAGAAGAACAGAACCCTCCGAAGAGGCTGAAGACGGAGGAACCGATTTTCTTCACAGAAGACGATGCGCAAGGGGTCCACTACCCTCACGATGATGCACTTGTCATAAAACTAAGGATCAGTGACTTCGAAGTCAGGCGCGTACTTGTCGATTCGGGCAGCTCGGTGGACATTCTCTTTAAGTCGGCGTTTGACCAGCGTCAGTTGCAGAGAAGCGAGTTAAAGCCCGCGAACACTCCTCTGGTAGGTTTCAACGGAGAGGAAGTCAGGCCCCTCGGGAAAATAACAGTACCTGTGGAAGTCGGCACATGGCCTTGTGCGGTGAGACTCAACCACGATTTCCTGGTGGTCGCGACCCCCTCCCCATACAGTGCCATAATAGGGCGGCCAATCACACATGTCCTACGAGCAGTGGTCTCCACCTACTATTTGGCAATGAAGTTCCCTACAGACTTCGGTGTGGGGGTAGCGCGGGGCGACCAGCTTGAGTCCCGCAAGTGTTATGTTGCCGCCCTAAAGGGAAAAACCAAAGTGGCCGACGATCTCGAACTGGAGTGGCCTACGGAGCAAGGCGAAGAATGCGCTGCGCCCACAGAAGAAACGGTCGCTTCCCAACTTCTCTCCTCTCCCTAATATCCTCTTGAAGGTATTCAACCTGATGCTGCAAATCTAGCCTCAGGTCCGCCATATGCTTCACCACAACACCCATGACCTCGGTATCTCTCTGAGACCTCTTCGGCAGCTCGCGCCCACCTCGAGCTCCTTTCCACTTGGGACGCCAAGGCATGGATAGAAGAATTCACTTAGCAAAAGGAAAAATAACAAATGATCAAAAGAATGATAGCAAGAAAGATAATAGCAAAGAGCCCGACAAGAAATCGCTGACTTACCACCATGGCATGAGTGACAGCACGACAAGCCACCTGGTTCAAAGGAAGCTCGGTCTATGCCGCGACCTCCTCAGGGTAAATGGCCTCCCTACTCTTCTAAAGAGCGTAGTTCGGCGACAACACACTCCTGAACTCGCCTTGGGATCCTGAGCCTGAAGGCCCAGCTCGCATATAAGCAAACTCAGAGTAAGTGGGAGCCCCCATGTAAGTAGCCTCGGCGTAAGGGGCCCCTATCGCTTCTTGTACTAGAGGAGCCATCTCGGGCTCCCTGGGCGGATCCATTGACGGGTAGTTCGGTACCTCGGGCTCTGCATCTCGGGGCAGCTCGGCACGAGTTTGTTTGGCGACTCGCTTCCTCCTCTTCATGGCGTGAAACAAGTTCCCACCACGAGTCTTCTCTACGTCCATTGCACCTGCAAAAAGAGCTCGACATCAAGAAAACGAAAGAACAGAGCAAAACAAAAGGCAAGCCTCTGAGTAAGGATTCTACCTAAACTCAGACCGGCCTCGATGAGCTTGGCCTCCGTTAGATAATGGTGGCATTTTAGCCTAAGCCGTGCCTATTCCTGGAGGCCCTTCGCCGTCTCCCTATCAAGTGTAACACCGACATCAGGGGCAACCATCCCCCACCCGGTTTGGAACGGCCACCCCAATGCACTTTGCACTCCGAAGTAGTCCCGTTTCCACACTGGAACTTTGTTGGGAAGATCGTGTAAAAGCTTAAACCCCGGGCGAGGAGACAGGTAATACGCCCGCCTACGCTCGGGAAGGGGACCCGCTTGCTTCTTAAGCATTAGAATGGAAGAAAAGATCTCCAGGTCTAAAGGCAAGATCTGTTCGCAAAATAGGGAGATTGTCCCCACCAAGGTACGAATAGAATTCGGGTGAAGCTGGCCGACAGTAACGCCGAAGTGGTTCATAACCTCGACAAAGAGGGGGTGGAAAGGCAGGCGCAACCCAGCAACGAGCTGCTCCCGAAATATCACAATCTCATCAGGACCGTGTTCCCAAGGGAAACTACCTAAGGGTATAAAATAGGTGTACTCCCTAGGGAAGTTGAACTGGGTAATAAAGGAGTGAAGCCCCTCAGGCGTCATGGTCGATGGCCCAAACTTGTCTAACGTCCGACCTCGACGGGAGGAGGACGCGAAACTACCTGAGGCGACTCGGCCTATGGGTTCGAACTCTTCCTCGATCTCTACCTCGGGTTCACTAGGGCTGTCGAGGGATGCAGCTCGGTTCGTAGAATCTGCACCTGACCCTCTCGAAGAACTGTCTGAACTATCCGAGCTGGACATCGGGAGGAGAAGGATTCCAGGAAAGTACTCACCCGGAAAAAGCAAACGGACTACGGGAACTTGAACGCGAACTGAAACTTGGACGTGAGCTCAAGAAGCAAAACCCAGGAGAATGACAAAGCGACTGGGGTCCCCCACTATTTATACCCACAGTAACAAAAAATCAACGGTTCTGATCAAAGCAAATCCAACAACCCGCAGTCGCACTGACCGCACGTCTCCTAAGACCGAGACGTGACTGGCCGCACGTCTTTTGAAACTGAAAGAGCGCCAGCGCATGTCTCCCCGCGTTAAAGGCGGCAGCGACGCGTTTTTTCAAATTTGAAAAGACGCCCGCTGTCACGTCTCCCAGTGGCACATTTTTTAAATTTTGAAATAAACGCGCGTTGTCACGTCTATCAGCATTTATAGACGGATTGGCGTGTTTCCCAACTTTTTGGCGCTCGAGAAACCCGGAAAAATCCTGACGAACACGCACTTCGCACTATCAGTCAAACCAGTTCGAAGTACGGGTCAAATCCACCCGCCACCTCGCGAACTCCCCGCGCCAGGGCAAGTCCCTTTGCGCGAGGAGTGGGGGGCAATTGATGAAGGAAGATTTGGCCCGACCTCGTAACCACTCAACACGTGGCAAAGGCAACAGCTCGGCACAACAATACGCCCAAGGCGCGAGCTCCGAAAAGAAGAACAAGGAGCCCGAACTCCCCGCAAGGAGCCCGAGCTCTCCCTTAGACCCCGAGCCTTACGAACACAAAGGGCAACAACCCGAACTGGCCCGCCCCATGGCAGTTCGGGCCACACCTCTATCCGAACTCAAGACTTCACCTCGCACACCACTCCAGCACTTCGCCTCCAAGACGCCGAACTGAACAACCGTACCGTACCTGACACCGAAGGAGTCCGTATCCTGAGGCGGCGCACTTGACTGACTTGGGATCTAACGCTTGACAGCCGCACTTCAATGGCCACCTGCCACCGCTGTCTCCAGTTACAGAGACGGCTCCGACAAAGAGAGCAGTGGCGGTTCTGCCCCAACAGAGGTGATGACACCCGAACTGGCAGAAGCGCAGAGGTAATCATACCCGACCTGACATAAGCTTAGGAGTGAGTGCACGAAGTGGTTATAAAATGCCCCTTTCCCCCCAAGAAGATAGGTATGCGATAACTTTGCGCCATCTAGTTTTTATATTGCCTTTGAAGAAATACTAACTTGAGCTTCGGAGCATTCTCAACGGGTTCTTCCCTGGAGATTACTCGCTTTCTCCTTTGTTTCAGGCACCGACCGGATTGCGCACCATCACCAGGTGTATTTAGGATTCGATCCCAAGTCTCTACTACAAGCAATAGGAGACTTTATCATAGTAGTTCCATTTGGAGAAAATGGAGACTTTTTTTGTTAAAGTTCGACTATGATATGAGAAAGATATGATATCTGAAAAACAACTTACCAGTATGACTTATCATAAGCGTGGTAACAAATAAGGTATTATTCATCAAAATTCATGGGTGGATTTTGATTGGTCAAAATTCCTTTCATATCCTATCTTTTATCATAGATTTTCCCTTTTTGTTAATTGCATTTAAGAGAAAAAATCTAATTTGACGCATTTTTTTAAGAGAAATGGTTGAGAGAGAGAAAATAAAGTATAAGTGGGCATTTTAATAATTTAACTTATTTCTTATTCTTATTATTCTTATTCTTATTCTTATTCTTATTATTTTGCTTCAGTTAACGCATTTCTTATTGATCGAGAGAGAAAATAAAGTATAAGGGGTCTTTGTAATTTACCAAAAATATAAAAACAAATGCACTGTTCCGGCTCCGGGTGTCTGTAAGTAACCTAGTCAAGAAAACGAATCCACCACTTGATGGAGAAAAGTCTACGTGAATTTGAGCAGTTAACAATGCCCCACGGCACATCCCGACCTTGTATTGGGAACATCTCCGATGATGTCTTGGGAGATGTTCTCAATACAAGGTCTGCGCCTTGAACCCCTTGTCTGACTCCTGCAGTCTGAAGAGTGAAGACGTCGATGGGCTCATCGTCGTATGTTCCTTCTCAGTTGACAGTTAACAAGTAAGTACCGATTCAATTGCAAACTGTTTGTTCGTTCCTACTTAACATTATTTTATAATTCCCGCCATTCTTCGCATATTCTTCACTCTGAGTGTGTATTTCACCATTTCTTTCGATTTTAGCAAGGAACTACCAATAGGGAAAATGCAAGCAATCCCATCTCGGTTTCCCATATTTCTGAGCTTGCAGTTACTATTCGCGATCTTTTCTTTTTAGTGCAATAATAAATCATGCTTCTATGGTTTTAAATTCTTGTTTCTGTTTCCCCTTTTCCTGGTTTTGATTTTAGTATGTTTTTTGGTTCCTTTGGTACTAAAGAACTTCAATTAGGGAAAGTATTATAAGCCCTAGATGGGCTTCGCCCAAATTCGTAAAATTACCAAGAATTTCAGCAAAAAGCAGACCTTTATCCAAAACTTTCTCTTTGACTGCTGAAAATAACGGTTTTAGTCTGGAGAAACATGGTGTAAGCGACAGAGATGGTGTTATCATAGTTGATCATGGGTCCCGGCGCCAAGAATCCAATCTCATGCTAAGTAAGTTAAGCTGCTATTTCTTTCCCATGTAATTAATTCCTATTTCAGATTCGTTTCATTGGTGTTAGTAGTTTTAATTTTGGATAGCTATTTTACATGGAGCTGAGACTTTGAATCTTTTAGTACTGCAGATGAGTTCGTAAAGATGTTTAGAGATAGAACTGGGTATCCAATCGTGGAACCTGCTCATATGGTCAGTTATTCTCTTTCTTTTTCTTTATTTATTCTATTTATCTGATAATTTTGTTTATTTCACTTACTCAATTGACGTAATGTTAAGACGACGTGGAGACTAAAGGTACAATTTGTGTCTTAGCAGATAATGTCCACAGTTCACATAAAGTGAATAATCTATGATTGTATCACTCTACAGGTTGTTGCATATTCCCAAGCTGACTGAGTGACTGTAATCAAATCCTTAAAAAATTGGGTCTTGAAATAGCTCTCTTTTTTTTTTCCCCTTTTTAAACCACTGAAGCGTGTTTACTATTCAGAAAATAAACGGCATTTTGACTTTTCATATCGAGCAAAATTGTTTACAGATGGCCTTGGTTTAACATCAGATGAAATGGGTTTTATTTGATTGGTCTTCTCTTGTTTGCAGAACAACAACAGTAAAAAAAGGCCTTCCATGATGTTTTTTATCCCATATTTGATGAAGTTTGGCAGATAGATCAGATAATGCAGTTAATTTATGGCAAAGAATATTTTGAATTGATGGTTTTTTCTCTCTTTTTTTTTTCCTTGGAAAATTTGGAAGGGAAGTGAATTCTGGTGAGTTCAGAGGTCTGTACATGGTTTTTCCTATTTCGAGGAATCCATCCTGCAAATGTATACATGAAGGGAGTTTGATTTTTTATCAGAGAATCAGTTGCAGAGAGAAAAAACATCTTAGAGATGTTACAGAAAACAAAGTCCCAGTGAGGAGTGATGGAACTATGAAGAACAGCATGGTAACCTCACTGCAGGCCCAATTGGTAGATCACCCCCCCCCCCGGCAAGAAAAATTCTTATCTCCAAGAAAAACCATAGGGTAATGTATGTATTATTTTCTAACTTTGCTCGGTAGTCTCTTATAATTTTTTTTTATCCTTCTCTTCTATGCCCCCAACTCTGGTGGTAAAGGGATTTGATCCCAAGTCAAGCTAGATACCCCACCATCTGAGCTTGAATTTTAAGTTGTTCTGCAGTTTATCCTTAAGATATCTTTAATTCTCAGTTTCTGAGGGTGGGCCTTTGCGCAAGGTTGGGTTGCTCCATTGCAACCTAGGTGACCAGGGTTCAAATATTGGAAACAGCCTCTCTGTATGTGCAGGGATAAGGCTGCATACATCTGCCCCTCCCCATACCTCACATTGGCGGGAGCCTCATGCACTGGGCTACCCTTTATTTCTTTAATTCTCAGATTTATATTACTCTGTCCTGTGACCTTTCTGGGTCCCCTTTAATTGATGGCTTTTACTGTCAGAACAAGCCAACTGACTGGTTGACCGGTAAAACCATGACCCAGTGAGCATTCCGGTGCTGGTTTTCTGTCTGTCTGAATCTGACATCATTAATGTGGACTGTGCTTGTGCTTCATTATGTTTTTTCAGCCACCTGAGAGTGACATGATCCTCATTATCTTTTAATCCATCTGAAAATGTAGTTCCAATTCCATGGATAGGATATATGTTTTTACAATAGCCATTGGGTCTAAGAAGTTTTCACATCTGCATGCTTTTTATTTCTTTCTGAAGTTTAAGTTTTATTAGTTAAGCTGAGAGTTTGTTTGCACATAATTTTTGATGTATCAATTTTCCTAATGAGTTGGACATAAAGAAGATAAAGTATGAGATCATGGTGACTTTCAATTTGCAATGTCACCACTCTGGCATATTTATTTTTGAGACTGAAATTATGATTTCTAAAATTACTTTGGTATTCTCGAAACCAAAATTTCATTGTTTTCAATATTGTTTAATTTAACCAGGAGTTGGCAGAACCATCAATCAAAGATGCATTCAATTTATGTGTGCAGCAAGGGGCAAATCGTGTAATTGTTAGTCCATTCTTCCTTTTCCCTGGACGACATTGGTACCAGGTGAGGTGGGCTGCTGAAAACTAGAGATAATATGTATTTATGTATGTTAGTGGATAAAGAGGACAAAAGAGCTTTTATGGAATTTCCTCACAAATCTTTTGCTTTTCCTAGGATATTCCATCCTTAACGGCTGAAGCTGCAAAGGAGCACCCGGGCATCTCATACATCATAACTGCACCTCTTGGCCTGCATGAGCTAATGGTGGTATGGAAACATCTATTGTCTTGCCTTCATTACTCTTGGAGATGACTATTGTCCATAGTCTTTTTATTCTGTTCTGTCGAAGGTTGAATATCAGTTATTTAGAGCTTGAGATTTTGGTTTTGCAGGATATCATGAATGACAGAATCAATCACTGCTTAAGCCATGTTGCAGGTAATGCAAATGAATGTGAAGCTTGTACTGGAACGGGAAAATGTCGGATATATGATTAAGGAAACTTGAAGTAAAGGGAGCTGTGTCAGTGTGGAAATGGAAAGAGTTAAAAACCTGAGAAAAAACCTATTGGCAGGTTTTGACTCAGAAAAAAAATTATGGCTATTTATGGCTTTGTATTAAATTGTGTTGTATGCTTTTTGAGTTTCACAGCCAAGTTTTCTGTTGCATCTGCATTAGTTTTGACTTGTTACTTTGTGCAAAGACCAAGGCACACAGGTCAAAGTCTTCCAACAAAACTTCAGTGAATAAGCAATTAAGTAGGGTGCGAGCTCCTTAATTGCTGAATTGCATGATGAAGCGACTATCTTAGCCCTAAATATTTTACTATATGACTTTTGTCCACTTAAAAGTCAAATAAGCAATTCATCTCAGTCAAATATCAAAGGGCCCCTGAATCTTTAGTGGGTTGTAGGTAGTGTGTGTTTGCCATTTTTTTTTACAAAGAGAGAATTTGACTCTAGGTAGGTAGCCGGTAGACCTCCCAAGTTAATGTTCTAGGACTCATGCAAGTCTCTTTTTAATTCCTATATTTGGGCGTTCCGATTTTTATTTTTTTCCGTTGCCTTATGTACATCAGTTGTACTATTTGCATACCTTGTAAAATGGTGCATCCATGTTTGATGTGAGCCTAGATGTTGGCCTCATGTGTGCTTGGTTTTTGGTCTAGGGTTGAACTCTACATTGGATCATAATTGGGGTGGCTCAGTTGGTATTGATGAAGGGTTTTTTTAGCAGCACCTTGTTGTTCTTACTATTTCTTGTTGTCTGATGGCTCAGAGGTTGAACTGGAGTATTTCTGCTAAAAGAAGGCTTGGATGCCGAATTGACTGGATTGAATTAGGAGGCTGCTCGGATGCCGAGCTGGGTAGCTCTTGAAGAGACCTACAAGGAAATAGTGTCAGATGACCCGAGGTGGCTAACCTGACAAGGTCGCTCCGATGCTTAAGTTAATACTTTTGTAGTAGATTGCGAGCTAGAAATCAGAAAGTATGAGAGATAGAATGTACTTAATCACGTGTATTCCCTATGTCATTGGGTTTGGTGCCTTTATATAGGCATTGTTTAGTATGGGCTTCACGCACTACATTCGAGATTTTCGGGAGGTCGTCTAATCGGTCCGAGATCCCTGGAGGTAACTACCATGCATGTTGACCATCCTCCGAAACGTCCGGTACATGGGCCAACTTTTGAGAAACATGGGAGTGTCGGGATATGCATGCCAAATTTGTCGGCGAGCACGTCTTGTAGGTCGCCACCGGGACCTTAGTTAGGCCGGCATGCCCTCAAGGGAGGTCACTCCTCATGTTGAGGTCACTTTGGCCAGTGATGAGGTGCTATTGGTCGGCCCTGGACGAGGTGCTTCTAGCCGACCTGAGTTGCGGTCGAGGTCGCCAGATCAGGGCGAAGGGAAACGACGATCTGGGACTCCAAGTCATCTCTTAGGTGGTGTCCATGTGTCATCTAGCTGTTCTAAGAGGCCATGTGTCACAATGTCATTGGAGGGCTAAATCTGCCCTCATCAATTGCCCCCCACTCCTGAGCTGAAAGTAGCTCGGCGAAGGGAGTAGATCGCTCCTTTTGTCCCGGAATGACTGATTCGATAAGCTCGTAGTTGTAAGCGTTGGTCAAATTTGCTTCTCAGGTCGGAAGAGTGCAAGTGTTTGCAGTCTTACGCAGGACTTCACTGTCTTGATTATCGGAGCACGAGAGCGAATTCATCCGCTCAAGGAGAGGTTGAGCAGGTACCCCGAGAGCATCTACCTCATTAGGGATGCAACCATCAAGGGGTTCTACAGTCCAACTAAGTACCTCAAGAGCGGAGCTCATCATGCCATCCTCAAGAAGGGGTTTTGTGTGGTTGTTTTATCAGGTCGCTTCACCTAGGTAGGCTTCGACGCAGTGTTTTTCGAGCTGGTTCCCAAAAGAGTAGCCGGCGAGTTCGATGTGGAGCTAGGAACCAAGGTGGAGATCGACTGTGAAGAGATCGGCCAAGTTTGTGTCCGTCATGATGTTGGAAGCAAACTAGTCTTTCCTTTGTTTTTCTTTCTTGTGCCAAATTAATCTTCCTTCCATCGTTTTTTTTTTCTCTTTTTCTTTTTGTCCAAAAAATTTTCTGTGGATTCACCCAAGGTGCCGAATTGGTGGGCTGGGCATAGCTAGGAATAATCTGAGGTCGATGTAACCCGAGGGGCGCGAACACTGTAAGGAATGTATCCGATATGTTTGCACACCGATGAATGTGAAATGCTTTTTTATTTCGCCCATGCCTAAGAGGCGACTGGGGTTTAGGTTACCCCTACCGAAGCGGCTGGTCTTGTGTGGTTCCGAGTTCTTCTGTCAGCTTGCCACCATAACCCTTAGGCCTAGGGAGCGACTCATAGTCCACTCTCCTTATTCTTGACTTTGCCCATGCTAAAGAGGCAATTGGGTCTCAGGTTGTGCCGAAGTCTTTATCAGTTCGGCACCTTAGCCCTTAGGCTCTAGGAGCGACTTCGTAGTCCACTCTCCTTAATACTATTTAGCTGACGTGCGACCAGACCTTTTCGCCTAAGCGGGTGGTCATTTTATAGTAACTTCTCATATGGCTGCTTCTACGTCATCCCATGGGATTATCTTCCTGGTTGAGTGCTTGTCAGAAGTTCGGGGCCACCGCGGTTACACTGCATCAGCCTCGTAATGACGCCGGTCATCCCCTCCTACGAGAAGCCATAGGGAGCTCGACCTTTAGGGGCAGTTCTACTAACTGTAGGTCGTCGACTCGCTCGGGAGCTTTGAGGGGCTTGACCCGCAAGGGCGTTCGCATAGTTCGTAGGCCGCTAACTCCCGCAAGAGCCACGAAGGGTTCAATCTGTAGGGGAGACCTCGCAAAGAGGACTGATGAGGCTTATCTGGGCTGAAATAAAGTCGGTAGAGCTGCTTAGTCTGTTGGCCATCAACTTCCCGTGGGAACCATGACTGGCTCGACTTGCAGGGATAGCCTTACTCCGAGGTGTCTGTTGCCAGACTGCTGGTTATTAAGGTTGTTCTGCTGTTGCCTATTCTGCATCGACATGAATACGTCGAGCTGCTCCCATGCTCACATTTGGAAATTCATGCTTCATCTCATGGAACTTCCGCACTTTGATCCCAATGGGAACTGCAGATGGTTCTACTGTGGGGAGAGGGGCGTTCACATGCGGTAGCGGGGTATTTATCTGGGGCACTGGGGATGCTGAGTTTGGCCTGGACTTGTTTGATTGTCACAGGGGAGTTCTCTAGGTTCATCACAGATGTTTTTTTCCCCCAATCATCGGTATTCGTACTGGGTGTTGATGCTGCTCAAAAGTGCCTTTGAGTTCATAAAAAAGTGGAAATTAGAAAGTGAGAACTTTAATTTTTAAAAGGTGAGATCTTAGTTTTCTAGAAAATAAGGACTCAACTTTTTAGAGGTGAGAACTTAGCTTCTTGTAGCGTTTCCCGCAGATGGCGCCGATTGATGAAGGGTTTTTTTGGCAGCACCCTATTGTTCTGACTACTTCTTGGTGTTCGATGACTCAGAGGTTGAGTTGGAGTATTTCTACTGGAAGAAGGCTTGGATGCCAAACTAACTGGATTGAATTAGGAGGCTGCTCGGGTGCCGAGTTGGGTAGCTCTTGAAGAGACCTGCAAGGAAACAGTGTCAGAGGACCCGGGGTGGCTAACCTGACGAGGTCACTCCGATGCTTAAGGTGGTACTCTTGTAGTAGATTGTGAGCTAGAAATCAAAAAGTATGAGAGCTAGAATGTTCTTAATCGCGTGTCCTCCCTGTGTCATTGGGGTTGGTGCCTTTATATAGGCATTGTTTGGTGTGGGCTTCACACACTGCATTCGAGATTTCTAGGGAGGTCGCCTAACCGGTTTGAGATCCCCAGAGGTAATTACCATGCATGTTGACCACCCTCCGGAACGTTCGGTACGTGGGTCAATTTTCGAGAAACGTGGGAGTGTCGGGATATGCATGCCGAATTTGTCGGCGAGCATGTCTCGCAGGTCGCCACCGAGACCTCAGTCAAGCAGGCACGCCCTTGAGGGAGGTCGCTCCTCGCTTCGAGATTACTTCAGCCAGTGACGAGGTGCTACAAGTCGGCCCTGGGCGAGGTGCTTCTAGCCAACCTGAGTTGTGGTCGAGGTCGCCAGGTTGCCAGTGAAGGCAAGTTGCTAGGTCAGGCGAAGAGAAACTACGATCTGGGACTCCAAGTCATCGCTTAGGTGGTGTCCATGTGTCATCTAACTATTCCAAGAGGCCATGTATCACAATGTCAATGGAGGGCCAAATCCACCCTCATCAGGTATGCTAGCTGGATTGTTCTAGCAGAGATGTGGATTCAAGTCTTGCTACCACCGACTTTTGGAGGAGGGTTAGTACTGTGGTACCGTGCTATTTACAGAAAAAAGAAAAGAAATATGGCTCCTATGGGAGATCCAGGGGGACAATTAAGACTCAGTTTGGAAAGAGTACAAATACAAATATGTGGAGTGCAAAACTTTGTATTATTTTGTATGCATTTATACTCTACATATTGTACTCTTTCCAAACAGAGCTTAAATACCAAACATAAAAGAAATCTGTATTTGATCACGTATCCCCCACCATGAGAAAGATCAAAGATGTGCAGGGTCTTCTTGCATTAACCTTCATTGCAGTCTTCAGTGCTACAGCGGTTAATAATATAACTGACCCGGTCACAACTCACAACCTGCTAGTTTCTTGGTTTGTACTACTAGTGCATCAAACAACAAAGCAGGTACAAAAATAAAGTTATATTACAGAATAAAATATTAATATATAAATTTATTAAATAAACATGCTTACCATATCATGTATTTGATATAAACCAAGTATCAACTTGTGTGTCTGTATTTTTAGTTGTTAGATGTTAGTTACAAAGACAAAATATATCTTGATTTCTCTAAACCTCTTCTTGTTTACTCAGTGTCATCTACCAGAACCAGAGAATTTTCTCATCCAAGACCAGAGTCTTGAGAAGCTCTCCATCTGTAACTTCATACTGGCTCTAGCTCGAGCTTCGGCTTGGGCTGGTGTCTCTTCTTCAACAATCCCCTCTGCTGCAGTGCCTGTTGTAAGGGAAAACAGAGTATAGATCAGTGAGCAAAACTTGTATGTAGATAGACTACTTGGTTTCATGGAAATGCATCAGAGCCCTTACTAGTCCTTTGACGATGCTGCTGAAGTTGCTTGTTGAAGTACTTGGCTGCCATAAAAACGTCTGCAGGTCTTTCCCACCCTCCTCCAAAAACACCGTATGCTTTTTTTGGCCGAGAGCGAATAAGGAATTCCAGCACAGCCAGTTCTTCTCTATCCACCCAATGAATGCAGTTCACTGGACATGAATCAACTGATACCTGTCCTCCATAGAGTCAGACACGATCCTTTCTTATGTTGGACTTAGGTTGTGGTTGGTAGTTGATACCATTGCTGTTTCTACCCAAAACATTTTTGGGTAGATCGATACAAGATTATAAATATCTGTTTCTCTATAAACATTAATGATCAATACAAAACGTTTTAGGTAGAAACCGCAATGGCACCAAACACAACCTTAGATCTTATAAGCGTAGGATGCTTTACTCTTCACGTTTTTTCATGTCATTACCCTTGTTGGGGATATGTTAAATTGAGAGAGAGAGAGAACTTTGACATCCCCAAATTGTTAAATTTTACCTCTATGCTTCTGTCATCATCCCCAAATTGAACTTTGACACGTGCACATCCAAGAGCTTCATCCATCATGAACGTGTTACTCGCATGGTGCACGCATTCTTGGCATCCTGCAGCAAAGTTTGATTCAAAGCCTGCTAGTTGTCGTTGGAGGAGCATGCATGTTTATCTCCTAGACAATTTTGTGAAATTCCTTAACAATTTCCCCTCAAACTCTGTGTCTCTCCTACTTACTTTTTTATTAATCCAAACACAGCCTAAAGTTTTCACAAAAGACAAGTTCAGTGATTATCATAAAAGCTCTTATCTTGTATGCCAATGCCATGTACATGTTTATCTGTCTGTGTTTATTAGGGAAGAAGGGAGAGAGAAACCTATGCATGCATTTTCGTCAACAAAAAGAGCTTGGGATCTGAAGGGTCCTTTCCATGAACTGTAAGTCAAGCCAGTGAAATCCCTGCCAAACCCTCCGCTCGTTTTACCAATAAAACCATCATATTCTCTTCTGAGATCCTCTCTCATCAACACACGGTAGGCCTCGTTTAGCCTCAGAGTGTATTCATGTCCCTGAAACAAATTGAAGATACCATCAAATTCCAGTTGGATCCACTACTCTTCACTTCATTTGCAATCTTAAGTCATGGTCGAAGCTTGGTTAAATGCATGTGCTCCCAGGAATAATTAGGCTTATAACAGAGTTAGCAGAAATAACTAGTAAGAAAAGAAATTGAAAAGAACCGACCCTTTGGCCTGCAATATCTGGATGATGTTTCTTCTGTAATTTCCTGTAAGCTTCCTTGATTTCCTGTGGTTTTGAATCGGCAGTAACACCGAGCAACTCGTAGTAATCCTTTGTTTTTGCTTTTCCACCGATCTTTCTATTGCAACATCTGATTACAATGGAGTTCTTCCTCCATCTCCAAAAAAAAAGAGGATAGAAGAAGACACACACAGACAAAAAAAACCCAGTTATTTAGACAGTTGACTGATTTCAACCTTCACATTCACACACTTCGAGTTTTTATAGCACCCGCCAACAAAAACTGATGCCAGGGGGGATTTCAGAAACTGAATTCAAGCTCTAAGCGAAAATGATTCGTGTGATTTATGCAGACTTATGTTCAAGTTATGATAAGTTACTTGATTTTTTAAGCACCTATTAATGGAAACGGAAGCTTTAGTCAACTTAACTGAAGATTTCTTTGTTGCATGCTCTGGGAATGGTCAATGGTGTACAAGCGGAATGTCTTTGCCCCCGTTAATGGAAATTCAGGCAAGAAAATTTTAAAATGGTAAAGAAATATACTGAATTTTGTCTCCAACTGCAACAACAAATTCTTTAATTTGTTTGATCTTTCTCGAAAAGAAATCAAGCTAGAGTTGTTACCTCGACATGGGCTTTATTGGACTGAGATTGTGATAAATTCCAGAGGATTGCTGTGATGGCGTTGAGTAAATCGAGGGTGTTAAGATTAACATTTTCATCTCTCCACTTTTGTATCTCCAGACTCCAATGGTGCTGGGGGGGGGGATATCCTGGTAGTTGAGACTAGTCGGATATTTGATATTTCTCCTAGCGATCTTTTTTTGCAGATATTTCAATTCTGAAAAGGCCGAATTGCCATCAATAACAAAATTTTCATTTTAGTTTCAGAAAAACAAAATTAATCAGTACGGTAAATACAGATTAACCCCTTATAATTTGAGAGGGATGATATTTACCCCCCAATTTTTATCTGTGGCAAAACGCCCTGAACTTTTAGATTTCAACACTTCGCCCCCTTTTGGGCCTCTTAGCTGGATTGACAAAAAGGTCAATTTACTAAAATGCCTTTTCAAGATTTTTATGGACAAAAGAATGACTTTTCAAAATGATAAAAATAATTAAGGCAAAACATGTCAATCTTTCTTGCTCATTTGGTTGAGAGAAAAAGAAAAAAACATAAGAAATTATACAAATATATAGGAGAAAGAACAAAGCGGTTTTGTAAATAACTGGGGGATTTAGAAATGTTTTGAACAAACACATGAAATTCATGGCAACAAATTGTCAAAGAAGAAGTTTTTTTTACTAACCGTGCGCAAGGGAGTATTGGAATGGAAAAATTAAATATGTGTTTGGTATTCGTTTATTAAATAAATGTTTATATTTGATTTATCTTCAAAATCGAAAAAAGTATTTGATAAACCGTTTATGAACTATTAGGTGTAACATCAACAGAGTAATAAATAAATAGTTAAAATGAAACTTCTCTCAAGGATTGTTAAGTACAAACATAAAATCCATTTTTGTAAATATCAATATATAATGAATGGATATAATAAAAAATATATTAATTTAATAATAACATGACAATGTTTTGATAAACACTTATTATAAAACACCGACGAAACAAAACACACCTAAGCAGCCATTTTTGCAAATGAAAATTTAGAAGCTAAATATCAATGCCGCAAAGTATAGGATGGTAATACGTAATTTACCCAAAGTAATAATTGAAACTTTGTAAGTTTGTAAGTTGAAACAAGTCCGTGATGTTAGCCCGTTCTTGTGTTATAACTTACAAATTAGAACAGTATTCCGATTCAGTATTTTACCCGCAACAAAAGGGAAATTGCCTGTGAAGACACGTGTCAAGCTCAACTAGTCGGACATCGTTTCCCTCTTTTGAAGCTTTTCAGTTTTCAGACCTGGAACCGCGAGTCAAGCTCGAAAGATTTGAGGATGTACTGAGGATTGAGATAGTAAGATGACTTACACAGTAACAGGACGATTGCTGCTGCCAATTAGGGCATCTTTTTTTGCTTTCTCTTCCCCAAATTTCTCTTTCTCGCGTTCAAGAAATCCATGTAAGTATCAATTTTCTGTTTTGTTTTCTCTTGGACCATTTTCAGGACTGTTATCGAATTTCAATCTATATTTCATGCAATTGAGACATTCCTTTTGAATTAGTTCAATATTTTTATTATTTTCATTTGACCAAAGTTCTGTTGTTTGGTTAGTGGTTTTGCTAACTTTAAGACCAATAACTGAAGAATCAAGTTGTTCAGTTATTTGGAGGGAATCAACTGTATTATATTTGGTTATCCTTTGTTTTGTTGAAAATTGACTATATTTGGTTAAAGAGTGATTTTTCATAGTGATTTGGAGGGAATCAACTGTATTATAAGGGCCATTGCTTGATGTAGTGGTAAAACCTTGGGCTGACAAGCGTGACAACGCGGGTTCAAGTCTGAAGCGGCCGCTTTGTGCGAAAAGGTGCAAAGTTAGGTCAGGCTCAAAATCTTGAACGCGGGTTTAAAATTTTATTCATCGGCCATCATTCTAAAATTAGGCTCAGACTCCTCACTTGGCATTTGGAAGTAAGAGAATCTGGAAGTTGCTGGTTTCCCTAGCATTTGAGGGCCATTTAAAAAGAAAGAAAAAGAAAAGAAACGAACTCCGGGTGGCTGCTCGTTAGTATAAGAGAATGAAAAGTTTAGGCATTGTGAGGCGTAAGCCACTAAGCCTTGCGGCAAGTCGCTTAAACTGAAATCAACTTCAATTACCAACTTGTTTCCGGAAAGATGAAATAAAATGAGGGAAATAAGAGGTAATATATTACACACACATAAGGTATCTCAAGGTGTGAGGAATGTGCTTAATGCTTATACTTTTAGGCATGAACCTTAATGGTTTTTCCTTAGCCTTCTTACTGCTTATTGCCTCTTAAAACATCAAGAAAATCCACTAGTTCAAGGACCAAATTAATCATGAGATTTTGAATATTATTGAACAATCTAGGTATAACCTGTTTCACCTTAAAATTACTTTCATATTTTGAAGGTGTATATGCTTTGGAGGGTGTCATGCCCTCCTTATTTTTGTACAGTAGTACAACCATACATCATTTATCAAAAAAAAAAAAGCTTTCATAAGTTTTCCACTCCCTATATGATACCCCAGTTCATTAAGTTCTATTCCATATGCTGTGTTGGGAAGTAGTCTACTTGTAGCGCTGTTTTAGTTTTAACTAGTTATCTGATTTTACTTGATAATCCAACTTTACTAACATTGATATACGTGTTTTGTTTTATTTATTCTATGTATTCCTGTTGTGTAGTTTATGGGAAGTGTGGACAATTAAAGACATTGATAAAGGGTATTGAACCCATACTACAGGACTGTGCATCAAAATTCCAGTATAGACTAAGTATACAAAGGAAATGTGTTCAAAGTCTTTGCTTTTCAGGCAAGTTACTGCCCCCCCCGATGTCAGTTGAATAATCAATATATTTCTACCACAATTATTTAATTCGCTTTTTCATTTCTTTTTTTTTCTCAGTAAAGAGTTCTATGAAATGGCTTTCATTGATGTCTAGGTTCAGCTCTCACTATAAGTGCATGGGGAAGTCATAAAAGGCATAAGATATAAGATTGGTACAAGCAATCAAATCAGATTCTGGCTAGATAAATGGTATTTTGATGGAAACATTTCCATCCTTCTTCCTGGTAATTCTAAATAGGGAGGCCCTGGTCAAGGAATATCGTGACATATTAAATGACAATGTTTTGTTCAGAAGAAACCTGAATGACTAGGAGGTGGATCCAATGGCAGATCTACTGCAAAGAATCCAATCCATTACAGCACAGGTGGGGCAAGCTGATAGTAGGAGGTGGATGTTGGACAGTACAGGTGCATTTTCTGTGAAATCCTTCTTTAAGAAGCTGGAGCATTATCCAAGAAGTGAATTTCCCCACTACAAAATTTGGAAAATAGCAGCTCCTTCCAAAGTGAAGTTCTTAGTGTGTAGATTAACCCTATAGAAGTGTCTAACTTGTGACAAGCTTCGGATCAGGGGCCTGAGTTTGGACAATATGAACTATGCATTATGTTCTGTTTTGGAGACCATAAATCACCTATTTTTGCATTTCCCCTTACAACAAGAGTGTGGAGCATTTTCCTAGTAACTTTCAGGTGGTTGGGCTGTTTCCCATAATCCATTCATGTCTTTTTGTTAAAGTTGGGAGTTCAAGGACTTAAGCAAAAGAGGGCGGATAGTCTGGGGCCTAGTTCCTGCTGGCATAACTTGGTATGTAAGGTCTGAAAGGAATGCTCAGGTGTTTGAAGACACATCTTCTACCTGGTAAGAGGTTTTAGTTAGAGTTAAAAAAATGCTGTGCTCATGGCTGGCAGCACATAAAGACTTCAAAGGACTCTCTTACAACAGATTTTCTATAAGGATATATTATTCATATTTAATATTATACTAACAGATTATAGTGTATAATCCCATGTACAGGGCCATGCTGTACAACTAAACACTCATAGGAACACCCTCTTTTTTTTTTTTTGATAGGCCATAGGAGCATCCTCTCCCTTGGAACTTTGTTCTCTCCTAGTCACCCCTTCCTACTATGGCAACTAAAAAGAAAATCCAACGTCAGTCCCTCTACAATTCATGACCTTATCCCCTCTCTTACCCACAGCAGCCTTCTGCACTGGAACATGTTGCTGAACCCACTGGCTTCATGGTGATGTTAAGGATCAAAGAAGCTCACAAGCCAGGCACATTTCCCAGCCAGAACCAGTCTACACATGAAGAGAAAAATGATTTCTGAACAGAAAAAAGGAGATGCAAGGTTTAAGTTTCCGTCTCCATGATTGTATGTGGGGAAAACTGATTATAACACTAATCCTGTAGTCCCTCATCAGATGGCATATTTCAATTGGAGCATCCCATTCTGAGCATGATAGTAACTCATGTTAGATATTTTGGTTTCTTTAGGAACTCATGGTGTAGGAACTGCTTCCATTTTTTCTATGACATGTTCTCTTTGAGAACCTTCCTGCTTAATTTTTTCCAACTTAAGCCACTAGGCCCACTGCCATATAGTAAAAGTTACCTATCATCTTCTATGTAAAAAGAAACATCTTCTTTTTCTTTGATGATTAATGAGAAGTTTTATTAATAGAATTATAAAAGATACACAGATAAGGTTCCCAAAAAGAAACATCTTCTTGTAGCCTAAAGCAGATCTTTTTTTTTGGTGGAAGTAGCTTAGAGCAGTTCACGACTACTTGTATGAGAACTAGAATTACTACTCATGAGTGCAGCATTAATGAAGACAAATGAATGTTAAATATTCAATCTCCTTTTTTATACCATTGGCTTAGCTGATATCTTAAGAGCTACTGTAATGAAAACTCTAGACCAATGAAAAATATATATAAAAACTCATGTATCAGCACACATTATATCATGCTGCAGTTCATATCCACTACTCAAATTCAAATGCTATGGATGGCAGACATGAATCTCTTTTGATGCTACACCTTCAGTTTATATCTATATGTTCCTCACTCAATAACATTTAAACTTGATGCTTTTTTCTACTGCATTCCTGCAGTAATGTCTAGGTCATTGTACTTAATTTACTTTTCATTGATATGGTCTGCTGATTGGTTTTAAGCTCATTTGCAAGTTGGTTTGCTATAAGTTTGAAAAAAAAATTTCTCATAACAGTTAGGTGATTTTATGGAAATCAGGCCAACAAAATAATGAATGGAAGCTCTATTAGATATTCTATTTCTAAAAAAGAAAGTTAATAAAAAATGAAAGAAAAAAAAACTACAAAGCATTTCTATGAGATTCACCATTAGAGTTATAATGCCCTCTATAGACTGACATATCTTCTGTGTCTATAGGATTTATTTCTAACCCATGGTTGTATGGGCTTAATCTAATAGATAATATATCTAAAGGGGAGAAGAAAAGAAATTGAGGAATGACCAACAATAGTAACATTTAACCATCTAAATCTACAGTTGTCTATTTTTGGTAAAACAGATAATCATTCTGAGTTTTGCTATAAGCAGTCTATATAGAGTAAGACCCCTGCAATGGTTTTACTGGATCCCATGCACATGCCTACGTGGAGACATGGTAACTTAAGAGGGAGCCTTCTTGCTTTGATGATGAGGGCAACCTAATTGTAGCATTGAGGTAGGGAGCTAGAAAATCTCTCATTGATTTTATTCTCTTGCAGTCTTGATCCAAAGCAATTAAACAATCAAATATTAGTAAAATTACCATTATTGCCAGATATGTTCATGCATGCAATTTCTCAAGCATGTAACATTTTTTTTTGGTAGTAAGCATGTAACAGGATTGACACTATTGTTACCCTAGATAAATTATTTATGTGCTATTAGTTACAGAAGGAATTAATAAGTAATAACCAACCAAAATAGAAGCTTTTCCTTAGAAAACCTCATTCAAGCTATGGACTTGGATCAAGCTAATGCATGAATTAGGTAATTGTGATCTAGATGCTGCCTCGTTATATTGTGAGTTGTTCCTAAATCTTTCTCTGGACTCAGTTTTAACCAAGATTTGCAATAATGTCATCCTTGCAGGAGGGAAACTAATTATGGCAAGTATGGTTGGGCTGCCCGGATGGATGAACCTTCACCCACATGTTTCTTATGCTTTGGATGGTGAGTAGCATGCATCCACTGATACCCTTAACATAGACTTCTTCTGCAGCTGTCTAATCTAAGCTTCTAAGAACTTTTGGACCCTAAACATAGCAAGAGTTCTTTACTATTTAGATTTCAATTAAGTAGTTTTTTTTTTTTTGCAGAAAAACATCATGCAGATTGGGGTGGTAATTTGTACCCATTAGAAGATGACTCAAACAACTTCTGGGCATTGGTGAGGAAATTTTGGCTTCCCGCTTTTCTGGTTATGACTGTGATGATGGGTTTGGATCATCCTATTACTCTTGCAGTTAAAATTATCTTTTTCCTACTAAGCACAAGGCCCAGTCCTTTGTCAGTTTATCTTTTTGTGGAGCAGGTAAGTTGGAAAGAATCCTATAGTATTTATTGTCTTGACAAATATCAATTGTTGATTAATTTAACAGAAAATCACATGAACCTCTTTCATACCCTTTTCCTATGGGTGTGGTTGTGTCACCTAACAAAAAACTGAATAACTTCATTATCTAAGGCCAAGTTTGGGAGTGCTTAAAATAAAGTGCTTATTTGAATACGCATTTATTTTGGGCTGGGACCACACCAATAAGCACTTATTGGCATTTGGGAAATAAGCCCAAAATAAGTACTTGTAGAAGAAGCCCAAAATTCGAGCTTTTTTAAGTGATTATACAATAAGCACTTATTCGAAATTTTGATTCCAAAATACTCTCCGGTTAGATTTCAAAACACCACTTATGCCCTTCGATCAAAAATAGGGTTTGGCTCTTTGATAGTTTCTCTCCATCATCTTCTGCAAAAACCAGCAATTGAACTGCAGCTTGAACTGATTAACCAGGTTAGGTAGCCTCTCTTTTCGTTTTTTTCCTCCGCTTTCTCATCCTCAACCGACCAACCAAGTGTTTTTTCATTTTTCCGTTTTGTTCTTCGAACCAGCCCTAATTTCGATAGTTTCTTCTCCAAATACCAGCCCTAATTTCGAACCAGCTCTTAAAATGAGGGTTAAAGTTGTCTTTTAAATGAACAAGTGCTTATTGGAGAAATAGACCACCAAACGCCTATTATGAAATAAGTGTTTTTTTTTTTTTTTAAATAAGCAGTCCCAAACTTGGCCTAAGACCCATTTTGTTGCCATCTTAACTTGATTTTTTGTTTCTTTGTATAACAAGGTTCTGTTAGAAACTGAGCTGAAGTCTTGAATATAAAGTCCATCGATATTGAATTGAATTGTATAAAGTACACCTGCACCGTGTAACTGTTAAGCTATAATCAATGGATAGGATATGTTAAAAGTTTTGTTTTCTAGTGCATTGAAGAACAGAAAAAGCATTTTTAAGTAATCAATACCTTTTGAGGTTTGGTGATTGTCTAGCTGGACAGTAACCTTGTCAGGTTCAAATTTGCAGTTACGTCGTCAAATAATGCGCCAACAACCTTACTTGTACAAATTAAAGGTAACAAGTCCTGAACTTAGTACTACATTTCATCCAATGTATGCTGCACTTATATTATTAAAGCCATAGGAAAATTAAACTATTAAAGATTTAAAAGTGTCTGGAAAACCTTTTCCATTAATCTTATTAACTACCTTGTCTATTCAATTTTTTACTATTAAATGTAATTTATCTACAAAGACTGAGATCTATATGTTTGTATTTCTTTTTCTTTATTCCCCTTTCTGGATGGGTAGGGTTTGGTCTGAGGAGGGGGTGGAGGGCTTCTGCACTCACAATTGCGTTTTTGTTCTAGAGGATCAGAAGGGAAGGGTTTATATTTGTCTGGAAAATGATTTAACTAGGACCTCCCAATTGTCTTATTGTGGCAGCTGTTACCATTGCAAAATGGTGGTGATTCAGTGTCTTTATTATGTTTGGAAAGACTTTTTTATTTCCATCATGTTTCCTGCTTGAAAAATCCTGCCAAAGTTCTTATCTAACATTTGTCATACTACAGTTTTTGTGTCATCTTCTCATTCGTTGCCCTCTACATGCAGTCATTATATGCAAGGAAAGTTGAAGTTGAGGACTATGTGCTTTTCTGTCTAGCTAGAGTTGAATTGAGGAATGAGAAGATCACTTTGATTGGAATTCTGGGTAGTTGGTGGGTTTTGCAGTCTTCACCGTGTCAAGGAGGATATTCTTTCTTTAAGAGTAGGGTGAAGGACAAACTTCTTTCTCATTTGCAAATAATCAGATGAACTAGAAAATAGCTGTCATGTTCAGCTCCCGGTTAGTTATCTCAAACAGGCTCCCTTGATTTTCTTCTACCAATGGAGAGCATTTTTTTTTTGTTCCAACAACTTTCCATGAATGAATAAACGAATGATCATTATTTGTAAGAGGAGTTCAATTGGTCCCTGCACTTTTTGATAGAAACGGCTTCGGTTTTGGGTGGACTTTTTTGAGTCAAACTCATGTTGAGCCTGTCTTTTGCTCTGGCAGTGTAAAGCTCAGATAAAGGAAATGATATCTTTGCAGCCAACCTGAAACTGTTGGGATAAAGCTTATTGAGTTGGTTGAAGTAATATGACTCGGTACTAGGCATCACCTGGATGATGAGTTTTGTGAGTAAAAACCCCTGGATCCTAAGTTTTTTTTTTTTGGTATTTTGCATGGTGATCAATTAACATGCATACCACAAATTTCATGGTAAAACATATAAAATTATCATATTATTGACGAGACAGACATTTAGATGTATTAATTCTATTATCTTAAATATAATATTTACAATGTAATAAAAACTCAGTTTAGCAACTAAATTAAAGAAATAAACTAATGAATATTATCGGGTACTTGCATACCAAATAGCCCCTAAGATTTTGCATAATTTTTCTTCAATTGAAGTATTCACATGGTTCCATTGACATGATCTTTATGTGGATTTTAGAGTAAAATGATTAAACATTTTTGTTGGTAAGCCATAAAAAAACATTCAAGCATGAATTAGATATAGATGCAAACGTTTTGAGATTCCAGAGCCGTTATCACGTTTAATTTGATTGAATGAGTTAACTAATTTAAATGTGTTAAACATGTTGCAGAAGGCATAAGACTCAAAGTATCAGTTTTCAATTTGTGAGATTTCTCACGTTTTACTCCTGTAATCGAGCCGCTCATGTTCTAGCCCAACATGTGTTGAACATCCAATTTGCATGCACCTGGTCTGGAACTCCTGAATTTTTGTGCTGTAATTGCTTCTGGAATGATGTAACTCATCATTTGGTTGAATGCCCAAGGGCTTAAAAAAGGGGGAATGGATTAAAGCTTCCCCTACTGTTTCACAATCCCTTGACGTATCTTTTGCAATAGAAAAATGTGTAGTCTTGGTCTGTATGGCCTAGACCTCTCCGTTTCGGTGGTCTGTGTTCAAAAACTAAGCAAAAAAAAAAAAAGCTTTTGCTATTAAATTGATTATAAAAGTTCCATTGTAGCTTTTCTAGAGGAAAATCTGGTTTTTGGAGCAGTAATGAGAAAATTCAATGCACTCATGCACTGTACAAGAAGCTGTTGAAAGGCTTCGTGTGTCTATACAATGAATACGTCCACCGAAGAGTTCAAGGGTTTGACTTTCTGGGATTTCTTTACAGAAGTTTTGGGCGTTACAGTTGCACCATTAACGAATACAATGCAGTCTTGAAACAGCTCACAGGATCTTGAGAGGCCAAGTGAGTATTAATTGAGTTGTTTGAGGGCTTCACCCACAACACCCTGAGCATGTTTGAGCTCTCATGGCATCTCATGGCACCTACAAGTCTATGTTGGTAGTGTTTCAGGCTTTCAGCAATCAAATCAGCTCCGCTAGCTGTTAGATTCTTCTCTCTCTCTCTCATCCCTTTTTCTCACCATCCATGATTGCTACGAGTTCACATCTTTTCCCCACAGAGCATGCAACAAAAATGTCCCACACAGCACATCTCAATCATGTATTGGGAACATCTCCCAACGCTCTATGCGGCTCACATGTGAATTAGTTTGCTACTAGCCCCCTGATTTGTGCTGAGAAAAGAGGGAAAGCCTCTGAAATGGGTAAGGTTGCAGTGAGGACAAAATTGGGTGTTCAAAAAAACTTAAAGCATCAGATCATTCACACGCAACCTAAATGTGATGAACAACTAACCTGAGGGGGAGTTAATCAATTGTCAGAAAACTTGGAGTACAAATGCATATATTCACAATGCAAAACAAGGTTTAGAAATAAAAAATACATATTTTTGCACTGTACATGTTTGTTTTTGTACTCTTTCCAAATTCAGCCTTGTTATTTCTTTTTTTTTCCCTACTACTAGTTGAGCCCGTGCGATGCACAGGTGAAAATAAATGCAAAAATCAATAATTAAAAATATAATTAAATTCACTAATGCAAATCAAGTGTGACAACAAAAATCTAATTTGGGATGAAAATATGGTACTGGCCTCAACTTGGGAAGGACTTGGACTTGGGTCTTTAGTAGCTACAATCTAATGCAAACCCATAGTGGCATTTGGCATCCTATACCTTGTCAATTGTCTCACTTGTCGATGACCATATCCCACTGCCACCAGGGGGTTAAGGGGATGGGGGATGGGCTACCCCCATTTGTGTAGCCCCATGAAACATAAGAAAAAAAGAAACAAAATAAAAGGGAAATGAAAACTTTTAATCAATGGTGTTGGTAATAAAATGGAGACACCATAGTATAATAATATTTTGACTTTTTTAGTGAATATAATGTTTTCACATTTGATTGGGGCATTATGGAACTTTTAACCTCATGAAAACTTTCTTTCCCAATCTATATTTAAGTTGATACTATTAGAGGGCGAAAAACATTTCTTTATTCTACGTAACCATTTTTAACGTGAACTATTGTTATGGGAGTTCACTTTCTCAGTATTTGACTTATAAACATGTAATAAATTTATATGCCAACTTGAAAAAAAAATCCAACCTTAATAGTTAATACAATGTCTAGGCCATTGAATTGTAGTAGTTATGGTTTTCGAAATATCTTTTGTCCTCTTCATCAAAACCCTCATCACCATTCCTCTCCCTCCAAAGATTAGTTATGATCTTCACTTTCAAATTCACTTCTCTATTTATCTCTTTCCCTCACTCAAACAAAAATGCCTTTGATTAGTTTGTTTCTATCTTCAAGACCAACATGTTAATGGTGAGTGTTTTTAACAGATTATAACTTAGACCTTTTGGGTTTAGGTGATGAAATGGGGTATGTCTTTCCAAATTATACCGCTGGTTAGGCCTAGTATTCATCTTCTAGGATATAATCAGTTTAATAAAATGATTTTATTTTATTTTTTTAACAATTGATCATAAAACAGATCAGGACTTTTATTCTTTTTGGTAACTAAACAACAAATCAAAATTTAATCTTGCTTTTTGCTCCAAAACCATCCAGCCACACTATTCACCTTCGTCTTCTTAGTTGTTGGTTATCTTCCTCTTCACCGATGATTATGCTATCGTGGTAAAGAGAGAGAGAGGACTAGGTCCTGTTTTTTAGATTTTTAAATTATTTTATTTTCTTTCAAAAGCATATGAAAGTTTCTTCCCTCAAGTAGTTCTTGCTTTTCTTTTCTATATTTCACTTTTGATCAAAATTAAGCATTCATATAATTTTAATTATGACTCCTTCTTTAGAGAAGATATATTTCTTATGGTCTATTGAATGTGAAACCCCTTTCTAGACAACCATACCATGGCTATAATATATAATTGAATCCTTCTTATTGAGTCTACTGCTATCTTTCACCTATAGCTAAAAAAAGTATCCAAACAAACCCTAAATTAATATTAAACCCATAATAAGATTCTTATTATCTACTAAATTTAATATTAATTCAATAAGAGGTGTATTTTTATTGTTTTCAAGTTTTGGTGTTTAGATGATTTCACATGCACTATATTAATCCTAAGTGAGGTTTATGAATTTTTTAATTTTTATTCTAAATATCAGGATGAATTTATAGAATAATTGATTGATAAATGATTTCAGCAAAAACATAAATAATGATAAATTATTGGTTATAGGATCTCCAACCATCATTTAGCAGTCCTTATGTGTCATGTGTGTAATTGGCTATGAGATTTACAACCATGTTAACAGTTTGTATTCTTTTTTTTTTATCGTTGGAAAAACTTTGATGGACAGAAATAAGGCCTCATGATAGTTACATACCGAAAAAACAAAAATAGTAGAAGGTAAAAAAGGAAAGTAAAATCCTCATTTTTATAAATGGTACAGACTTGGCAAGCGAGTTCGTTTCTTGAAATCCCGAATTGACTTTGATTTATGTTTTTTTCCTCAACGACCGGGAAGATATAGCTCTCCATGCATCATTTAGATGTAAAAGTAAAACGTGTGGTCTGTTAGATAACCACCAGAAAATATGAAGAGAAACTTAAGTGTTTTGATCTGGTCTGTGACTGTGATTCACCATGATCATGAGAGCGCAACAACAGTAAATTAAACAAAATTGCGAACAAAAATTATAAATAAAGACACTCTCTTCTCTCCTGTTTTTGTTAGCTAAATTCACCAGAACCTTCAATATCCTCCTCAACGATCGAGAGATAAAAGGATTCAAACATTGAAGCATTAATTAATTAATTATATTTTACTAGCCAAAGCCAAGGCGTCGGTGACAAGCTTTTCTATGACATCGTTGTATTTGAGAACAGGGGGGGCGCTAGCAAGGTTGGTAGTCTCGTTTAAGGTATCATCGCAAGTGCCAATGTCTGAGAGAGCAGAAGAGAGTTTATCTTCCAAGCCACCCCTGGACTTCTCCTTGAGGTCGCTGTCACATGCTGTAAGGTTATCCAAGGCGTCTTGGTACACTTCTCTGCACACATCCAGGAACAACTTTCCCTCCTCCGTTTCGGTCTTCATGAGACTAAGCACCTTGCTCTTTGCCTGGTTTATTTGAGCAATGGAGGCCTGGATGGCCACACTCGTTGCATCCTCGAATCCACCTCCTGTCTTTACGTCCTGCAAAGCTGTGCTGCAGACGCCCGGGTAGTCGGTTTCCTTGCACATGTCCGCCGTGGTTTCAGCTTCACTTCTCGTCGACAGGCAGATAATGGTGGTTGCCACAACTACTACTTGTACTAGTGGCAAGGTAAGGTATCGTTGGAATATCATTTTCTCTGCTTTATTTCTCTCTCTCAACACTTTTCTCTGCTTAATTTAATTTGGGTGTTTCTATCAGACTAGCTATCAGGGAGTTTTCTCTTATATAATTAATGAGATTTGAGAGTTCAGACTCCCTCTTCTAATTCTAAATTTAAGCTTGCTGTTTTGGGGAGAACCTCTGATTTTGAAACTCTAACAGAATAACGTCTTCTCATAACCAAAAATATGGAATTTGCGGAAGGATTGCCTACATCGTAGCAAGCCTGACCGACTCTTTTTTGGATTCGACTATGATGCCGGAAAGACATGATATCATGCTTTTCAAATTGTCATTGACCCGAGTGGTCAGACCGTTGGGCCCAGAAACTGCTCAGGTTCCTGGTTTTGTTTTACATTTTTTAACCCATTTTTTTGTTAAAACGTTGACTTAATCAATGACTTGTTTGATCCGAAATAATAGTTTTAGCTAAAACCGTACTCCACCTCAGAATTCTGAATTACACAGAAAATCTACAATAATTTAAAATTTCAAAAACCTGGCATTAATTCTAAGCTCTCACCTATTCTAACGATAGGTAGAGTCATGGTTTTCAAAACCAGACCGGATTGGATGGTTGAACTAAAAAAACCGGAAATCAGTCATCTGTTTTTCTCTAAAATCGCTTTTTTCTCCAAAACTACTGATTTTGGCCAGCAAACCACTGAACCATCCGGTTAATCGTTCGAACCATTTGAATGGTTTTAACTGTTTTTCAAATTTTAAAATTTTTTTTGTCAGAACGGGCTGACCGTTCGTCCCGATAACCGGACTCCTGACCGATTCAATCGCCAGATCAGCTTTAAAAACCATGAATAGAACCGCTGACCGGATGATAGAACTAAACAGTAAAAATAGTAGCCAAAACAGTTCTAGGTTTTTAATTAATACATTGCAATTGCAAGATACTGAAGAAACTTAAAACCGATCAACCGGCTGAGTGCAAACACACAGCGAAAATAATTTATAGCTGACTGGAAGGTTTGGAAGTATGGCTGGGATGATATCAGGCAAACCCCACTGGACATATTGATCATATGGCTTAAATAGCCATCCGACACTATTAAATCTGCTCCCATGCTACTCACTTACTCAGTAGGGTTTAATTCATATCGAAAGAACAGGTTATACTTGTAAGTGAGATGTTTTATAACATAAATGTTTCTGTTTTCATTTGTTTTTCAAATTAATTTTATTTTAGAAAAAGTAAAAAATAATACATGTTTTTTGAATCATCAAAATACACAATGATTTTAAAACAAAAATAAAATTTTAATGTAGAAATTAACCAGATGAAAATATGTTTTTGAATCAGAGATTTAAGTATATATTTTTGGATGTTAATTAATTTTGAAAATAAAAAATACATACACAATCAAGAAATTTTTTTTTATGTTTTGAGAAACAAACAGTCTCATCAGATGGTTTCGATTTATTTTTGAAACGGGCAACCAAAAAAACAATTAGCATTGTAGAATGCCCCCTAAGTTTTGATTCTCGTTTTCCTCCGTAGAGGAATAACAGGTGAACGTCTTTGTTTTCATTCTTCCTCTTGTTTCTAAGTTTTGTTTAGGTATAGCAAAATTGCATGAAGTAGCTAGATGTTCTTCGTCAGAGAGAGAGAGAGAGAGGTGCATGACAGTGCCCCTACTGCTGATTTGGAATCAGTAAAAATTTATATTGATTCGATTTTATTTGCATTTGGAAGAAAAGTATACTCATGAACGATATAAAATTTTATTTCGGTTTACTTTGGTGTATGTTTGGATGGAATAGAGTTTTAAGTTGAAAATTGATATAGGGAAAGTACTAAAATTAGATTGATTATCTATGTAAATATTAATTTAATCGATGTAAAACTTAAGCTCTTCACCCATACTTTCAAGGTTCAATAATATAAAACGTCATCGGTACATTGATTCTAGACGCAGTCATCAACATCATCAGTGTAAAACGTCATCGGTAAGTTTTAAGTGTAAAACGTTTTACATGATAGGGACACTGCCCCACATCCTTCCTTTATTGGGGTGGTGGGCGACACAGTCTGATTGTTTGTTTAAAAGTCTTTTCACATGACAACTAATGTATAAAGTAAAGATTCACCAATAGTTGATGAGTATAAGAAAAGAGGGCTAACAGAGATGAAAGACTCTCTATAGCTTCATCGTCAGTAGGTATATTGTAAATAAAGATGACCATCAGCAAAGAAGAAAAAAAGAGTACATGAATAAATGTTTGCCTTAAATTTTATTTACAGTACCAGAGAGCGTTTTGATAGTTTGATCTATCAATTATATAGTTTCTCGCATTGAAATCTTACTCCATCAAATTATAATACTCTGCTCCTTCCATAAAATCTGAATCCATGGATGGACCATAAAACATTCCACCCCATTGGGGAAAGTATATCAAAGTAATTGGAAGAGTACAGACAATCATCATGAGACCCATCAAAGAAATGCCGGTTTCCTTTGAAAACGTAGAGCCAGAAAAAAACAGCAACTGAGTCACCACTGCACCTACAGTTCCACCACTCCCGGTCATCCCCGAAATTACGCCCAACGCCCTGCAGCGACACATGTTTCAACGAGCTTCAGTTAACAATAATAATTATGAGACTGATTGACGGCCTTGATGCATCTGTTGCTGCTTCATTTTAATTTGCAGGTTAGGCTTAGGCTTGGATGGAATATATATAATCATTAATCAAATAGACGAGGAGTACTTCACCGCCGGCGGTTCAGACTACAGAGAGAATACCCCGGAAACCCTTTTGGAGCCGACAGCCAGACATTAAAGGTTGCAGCTTTAAATTTGTAGGATGAAATTAATTAAATTCTATAAACATAGCAACTGATCTCACCTTTTGGAGACGAAAGGAACCACCCCAAACGTCAGACCGGAAGCAGCTTGGACGAAGCAAGAGAATCCACACATCACAATAATTGAAGCATAGAGTGAGTTGACACGCCCAAGTAGGAAGCAGAGTAGCCCAGCTACGGTCTGAACCACCCACAAGCTCCACAACCTTCCCCTCATCCCAAACCTCTTCGCCGTTGTATCCGATATCACTCCGCCAATTGGTCTAGACACGAAATTTGCCAATCCAAAGCTTGCTGCAACGGCGCCAGCAATCTGAATCTTCAGATCAAATCTGTCATAGAAGTACTGTGCGATTATGTTATCAACTGTTAACTCGACCCCGAAACAATACCCATATGTCAACCCCAATATCCATCCTCTGTAATTCTTGAGGCCATGAAAAAGAACTTGAGACAAACTGCCTTTTGGCTTGTTAATGGAATTCCTGATCACCTGGTTATAGTTCCCATCCGGTAAGTCTTGGCCGTATGCCAACACCAACAGTGCTGTCATGGCTTGGAATACAGCAGGGACAATAAAAGCAACACGCCATGCAGTAAAAGACGCTACGCCCAGGCGAGTGATGAGGGAGTAGATCAGTGGCATTAACATCTGGGTAGCCCCGGTGCCTACGTTGGCCCACCCAGCGGCTATACCATTGGCAAGCCCAACGACGTTGCCTGAAAACATTGAACTCATCCAGAATTGGTTGGACACGAAATTGGCTATCGTCAATCCGATGAGGAAGCGGAGGAGGATGAAAGCTCCGGCCGATGAGGCAAGAGCGGTGGAAAAGACAATCGGCGCAACCAGGAGAGAGATAGTTGCAGATGCGAGGCGGGGGCCAATCAAGTCACAGGCAGGTCCCATTGCTAGACGAGAGAAGATGGCGCCGGCAAAGGATGCAATTCCAGCATTTCCGATGTCGGTGTCGGTGAGGTTGAGATCATCACGGATGATGGGTAGGAGCGGAGGTATGGCAAAAGTTGAGAAGAAGCAAGAGAAGAGGGAGATCCACGTTAGGTGGAATGCACGCATATGTGGTGGCGCCAAAGAGAACAACCTTAGTTCGGTGGCCTTGTGTTCGGCATCAACCGGAAGAAAGAAAAAAGACTCTTTTCTTCTGCATCCCGCCGTCCAGGATGTGTCCAATTCCGTTTGAGCCATTAAAAGCTTACCTGATGAAAGTTTTAGTTGCAGAAATATTATTGCAGAGTCGTAGCCAGTAGTATCGGGTACTCGGAAGTTGGAAGTCGGAAGAGAATGAGAGAGAATCAAATAGCTGGGATTTTTAAATAAAACCAGAAATTTTTATTTGGTGGTCTCAATCGAATGAAATTGCCGAAGAAATAACAGTCATTCATGATTCCATGTCCGACCACCCAATACCAATAAATAACCTATAAATTGATGGTGAAAGAATTTATTAGTCACCACTTACCGCTTTACTACTCATCGAGTGTACTATCTCTGTGGGGAAATTCTAACTCCAAAGTTCAAACAAAAAATTAAAGATGAAAAGAAAAGATTATTCAATGGAATCATATTATAATTGAATGCCACTTGGCAAAATAAGCCCGGATGAATACGGAGGCCCAACTCCCAAGCCCAGTCTCCAATTAACCATCATGGTGTAAATGAGGGTGAGTGGTAGATCGGAATGATGGATGTTTAAAGAGAGAGAAGATTTAATGTGTTCTGGGAAAAAGTAAGTTACCTTATATAAGTACTTATGGAAGATTAAAGTGAAAAAAAATTCATCAAAACAAAAAAAAAAAGATTAAAGTGAAAAAATAAAATAAAATGCATACGCATCCAGAGATTATAGAAAAGGCGTTGGGTAGCCTAATGGAGTACCAAAGTGCCACCCGTGATTAAGAGTGAAGACAGAGATGTATATGGATCAAATGGAACGGTTTGAATCTGCTTTCAACAAGACACTATATCAGTAAACGGTTTGGATTATCTCTCTTGTCATCAGATTTGTCCACGTAACACGTAATCCGATTGGACCAACCAGCCCTGGACCTGTTCATTGTGAGACCGGATCTGCTTCTCACACATGGCGTCTCACACCGGCATCACAGGCATATGCATTAGGAACATCTCCCGTGCTTAACTGTTATTATTTATGGTAAATGTTTCCAATGCATGGTGGGATGTGCCTCTAAGGTCGTTGTAACGCATTCTATTTGAGGAGCAGATCCCAATTTGTTCCTTGTTGGATTTGAACAGGTTTGAATCGAATCTAAGCCCAACCTGATAATATTTTGTATAATTAAATATTCTTTGTGCCTCTTCTTTTTTTCAAGTCAGATCTTTTAGTATTATGGGGTTTGTGGTCATTTAATAAAAATAAATCAGTTTCATTGTTGATTAAAAATAGAAAAAAAAAATCTTTTTGTCGAATTATTGATCAGGCTTCAGGTTTTATACGAGGGTCAGGCTTGGACTCTAAGATTTAGGCCCAGTGGTCATGCTAGGTTCGGACTTTGGCTCAATATCTAGGCCTGATGTTCAGGGCCGATTTAGGCTTGGGCATGAAAATGTTTTATTCATGTTTTTGAACCGTCGTTGATCCAAGCGTTCAGACAATTCGGCCCGGGAATCATCTAGGCAACCAGTTCTGTTTCATCCTTAACCCGGTCCTTGGCCAAAAATTGTTGATTTGGTCAGCGACCCACTGACCTGGGTGATCAAACCATTGACCCATTCAACAATTTTATCCATTTTTTATTTTAATTACTTTTTATTTTTTAAGTTGAAAATCTGAAATGGGCCATCTATTCAAACCAGACAATTAAACCATTGACTCAGAAACCGGTGGCTAGAATGATTTCAGTTTCAAATCAGTTTTTAAAACCTTGGTTTTATTAATATAAAGGCAAATCTTGACTGAACCCGGGCCATGAACAAGTCTACTTGTCATTCATGATAAGATGTTGATGTTCCTGCTGTACAGCTTTAGTGGCTTATTTGTTGGCAGTAGACCAGAGCGTCAAATGGGAAGAAGACCCCATGTTTTTTTTTTTTTTCATTTGAATCATTTAGGGTGGTGGTTGGTTGGTTCTTCTACGGTTTTTCAGAAAACGATAATAATAATAATAATAATAATAATAATAATAATAATAATAATAATAATAATAATAATAATAATAATAATAATAATGGTCTGGTGTTTTTTGGTAAATTACAAAGACCCCCCTTGTACTATGGGGTTAGTGACAAAGTCCCCCTGTACTTTTTTTTGCGACAAAGACCCCCTGAACTTTAGCCATTAGACAAAGACCCCCTTGTCCGTTAAGTCAGATGACGAAAAGCATTAAATTACCAAAATACCCCACTAAACTTTTTCTATTTTCTTTTTCTTGCCCTTTTTCTCTTAAAACCTATTTAGCCTAGAAAATGTTAAAATATATAAATATGGTCTGGTGGGTCAGTAATTGTTTTCCTTCTTTTTGAGTTTCACTTCACATACCATGATTATGGCCTTGACATTGTCTCTGGTTAAGTCTTCTAATTCATCATTTTTCTCATCTTCGTCATAATAGGTGTCCCCTTTATTTCATTAATATTCTCCATTGAATGTTTCAAAATCATTGTTTTTATGCCATTTCACCTAACTTCAATGAATAAGACAATGATCAGTATAAAAAGGGTAGTTTAGACATTTAAACAACTTTACAGTTGGATGAAAATTTTTTCAAAGTTAACTGACAAAATATTAACGGAAGAGAGTTTTTTATCTAACGGTTAAAGTTCAGGGGAGTCTTTATCGCAAAAAAAAATACAGGGAGGAATTTGTCACTGACCCCATAGTAAAGGGGGTCTTTATAATTTACCCTTTTTTTTTTCAGAAAATGGCAATGTATGCATGGATAGAAACAAGGGAGAAGTTCTCTTCTCGAGGGAGGCAAGAATGAGATGTGGGCCGCCCTCGTGCCGCAGTTAATTGGAGCGTCAGTATTTTGGCTTGGAGTTCGTCGAATTATGAATAATTATGGATGCTTTATGATTGATTCTCCAATCACATAATAAATACCTCTCTCAATTATTGTTGATGTGATATATTATTGTTTTTCTTTCCTTTGTTCGTATTCTTTGAATTCTGTTAAAATTTCTTCCACCTACCTACCTTCAAGGCAGAAAGAGGCTAGACATTCCCCCGATTATGTACGCGGGCTCAGTCTTCACAAGACCCGTGTGTTGTGTGTTCACATCGAATTCATAGTCAACTAAAAGGAAAAAAAAAATTATAAGGAAAAAGGAATATGGGGAAACGGTTGAAATAAAATAGCAGTATCAAAATCTATGTAATGAAGAGAGATGCAAAAGGAGCTAAAAAAACAAGATGTTTGTAGAATTAGCGAAGTCTATAATTAATGGGATATGAATTATGTTAAATGTTTTATTTATTTTGTTATTATATAACAGAAGATCAACTGCGCAACAAAAAAATGAAACTAACTTGTTGAAGAAAAACTTCATGTATTGGCATATGGAAGACAATGAAAATATATACAATGTAACGGAACATTACAGATGTCAAGAAGTAAGTCCACGTGGGTAAATTAATTCGAATCATTTGGATTCTGGGACTATAAGTTACAGTTTTGCATATCCTTCTAATTCCCAGGGGTAAGTTGGATGCCCAACTTGCTTACTAGTGTAGAAAATGAAAGAGGCCCAAGAGGTTTGGTGAGGAGGTCTGTCGGCTGATCTTTGTTGGAAATATGATGAGTAGCAATTGTGTTGTTTGCAATGCACTAGCGAATAAATTGACAGTCAATTTCAATGTGCTTGATTCGTTCATGATATACAGGATTGTTGGCGATGTGGAGAGCCGCTTGACTATCACAATAGAGATGCATAGGACCTTTGATGGTGATTCCAAGATCATGGAGGAGACGCTTGAGTCACAATAACTCTGAAGTAGCTACAACCATTGCACGATACTTTGCCTCTGCAGATGACCAAGACACCACACTCTGCTTTTTACTTTTCCAAGATAGGAGAGATCCTCCTGGCATGGTAATATAACTTGTGGTTGATCGTCGGGTAGTGGGGCATGAAGCCCAGTCAGAATCGCAGAAAGCTTTGAAGGTGAGGTCAGAAGTAGATGGTAGAAATAGCCCATGAGATGTTGTGGCTTGCAAGTACTGTAGGACTCGTAAAGCTGCATCCATGTTCACCTGATGAGGTTTGTGAATGATTTGGCTCAAAGTACTGATTGCAAAGCTTAGTTCTGGTCTACTGACTTGTAAGTAGACAAGTCAGCCCACAAGTCTTCTATATTGTCCAGGATCTTGAAGTAATGGGCGAGTCATCATGGAGTGGTGATAATTGCTCCATGGGTATTTTAGCAGGCCTACAATTAAGCACTTTGTTTCTTGTAGAAATCATGAATGTACTTCAGCTGACTCAGGAAAATTCCCAATGTAGATCTTTGAACCTCAATGCCCAAAAAATAAGAGAGAGGGCCCAAATATTTGAGAAGGAAGCATGAGTGTAGATAATCATTCAGCTTTTGAATGCATGATTCATGAGTACTAATGATTATAAGATCATCAACATACACCGAAACTGCTATGAAGGTATCTGATTTCTGCAGTGTGAACAGTGAATAGTCAGCTTTGGATTGTGAGAAGCCATATTCTTGTAGGGCAAGAGTGAATTTTTTAAACCACATCCTTGACACTTGCTTAAGCCCGTATAAAGACTTTTGTAGGCAACAAACTTTGTGTGGCTTATTTTTATCAAATCCTTGTGGGATGCACATATAGACTTCCTCATGAAGATCACCATTTAAGAATGCATTGTTGACATCAAGTTGGTGAAGAGACCAACCTCAAGTTGCCGCAACTGCTAACAAGTAATGCATGGTTACCAGTTTGGCGACAAGGGCAAAAGTGTCATGATATTCCAACCCCTCAATTTGAGTATATCCATGGGCCACTAGGCGGGCCTTGTAGCGATCAACAGTACCATCAGGTTTCAGTTTGATTTTGTAAATCCATTTTGAACCAATGGCTTTTTTTCCTAGTTGGATATCAACAATGGACAAGTGTTGTTTTGCTCAAGAGCTTCAATTTCTTCGGCCATGGCCTATTGCCACTTTGGATCTTGAGATGCTTCTGTATAATTCTTGGGTTCAATCAATGATGATGTAAGGGCATGGGACTGTTGTTGCAAAGATGGGAGTATGGAGTAGATGTAGTCCTTTAAATGGGATGGTGCTCGACTAGAACGAGACTGCCGAGGTTGCTGATCTATGGTGTGGTTAGGTGGAGCATCATGATGGGAGTGTTGTGAAATGATAGTGGATTCAACATCCTCCTAGGGTAAAGGAATAATAGGTGAGGGAACG